CTGGAGAAGTAATTAAAATTTACAAATATGTCTTTCTTTCTTGAGTTTATGATTATAACAACTATTTACTGATAAAAAATGAATATTAATCATGAATATAAGCTTATAAAGTATATCTCTGACTCTCCCTTACAAACAAATAAAATAAACATTGTTTTTAAGTTCCACATTTGAAAATTTGATTTCCGGAAACTTCCGGATCACTGTTAGCGAAAATTCCGGAAATCCAGATCTTTTCCGGAGCACAATCAGCCCTGCATGTGTGTACTTTCGATTTCTTTCATTAATGGAATATTGTTTAAAAACATCGCATCGTTAGTGAAATATTATATGGCATCCATTAAGACTATTTTTATGGTCATAGGCTGCTTCTTCAATTACCGGTAAAAAGCTCTTGTGTACTCATTTTATAGAAAAACAGAAATATTTTGTGATATAGTCTGATGGAGAATTGTTTTAAATAAAATAAAGATGATAAACTAAATTACAGAACAATACATGTTGAATCAAAACAATTGCTCTATTTTAGTAGAGAGCAGCTGATAGCGTTTTTTTAATTTTGTTTTTCTCCTTCAAGGCACACATTCTACACAGTTATAAATTATTTTTCTTTGAAATTTTTAAAACTGAAATTTTATAATGATGTATGTATTTTAATGGATAAAAATATGAAAGAAGAGAAAAATTGTCAGAGTTGCCCAGAGGTTAGAGCATAGGACTCCGGTCTGGAGAAACTGCGCTCGATCCTCAAAAGCTGCTATGACTAAAGACCAACCGAGTACTTACAAAATAGATGCCCGTAAAATCTATGAAATCGGTCATCCTGTGGTCAGTTGCCGAGCAGGACCATGGGTAAAGAGAAAAAACCTTTCCGTTTCAAATAAATGCCTAGATTTTTAAAATTGAGCAAGTGGCCTTACAGATGAGAGACACTGCCATCTACCCAGGAGGTTATGAGCGAAGTCACACTATCAGAGTGGTCCTCTCTTTTCATACGAAAAGCACTCCTTTCTGACTTAATTCGCAAGGCCAATAGCCGGTGATCTTTGCTTGTCCAAGTATCAAAAGAAATAACACAAAAGAGAAAAACAAATTTCGTGGGGGACGAAAATAAAAATTATTAGTCTGAGCAAAAAAAATAATTAGAAATTATTATTTTACATGTTTTTTTTATGAATATCAATAAATTATTTTTATGCATTTACATTTAGTACTAAAATATTTGATATATGTTTACATTTATATGTTTTTAAAAAAAAACGTAATAATTAATTACATGCATTGTGGAAAATTGTTCTCCAGTTAAACTTAGGAAAAGTTAATTTTAAATATTTTGTTGTCAAAAGTGTAACTAAAAATAAAAGAAAAAAACTAGACATATACAGTTAATTCAAATATAAAGTCATTAGAGTTCAATTTTTGAAATTTTATTCTATTCCAAATGAATTTTAAATAATAAAATTGCAAACAGATCAATTTTAAATTGATATATTTTGATGCATAGCCAGATTTAAGAGATCAGATGAGATGTAAGAATGCTAAAAAGCACCTTTTTTGTATTTATACTACATTGATTTCATGAACTTTTCAGTTTTTGTTTTTAAATATGAAATTTAAAATTTTCTCCATTAGAAAAAAATATTTAGATATTATAAAAGTTTTTAATTGAAGATCAAGACAATATAAATCTATATAAAAATTTAAAATATGTGACAGTTTACATTTGGATAGGAATCAAAAGCTATGAAGACATTTTTTTTTAATAAATTCTTTTATGCCACTATATTATGAGTTTGTAAAAGATACAATTTTCTCTAATTAGCATATTCTAAATAAAAATATTATTAAAATAATTTATCAACAAATGCAAACACTCACACATTTATCGATAACAACAAAACAATAGTGCAAATTAAAATTCTTTTTTATTAAACAAAATGAATAAATGAAAGAAGTTAATTTCCAAACAGCTGTAGTAGTAATAAAGCAATGTAAACTACAATTATGCAGGATATATCAACTTAATGTGTAAAATTTTGCTGAGTAATAAAAGGTAAAAGTATTATTTTATTTAGGATTTAAGCAAAAGTGTACAAATTCAATTAGCAGGAATTTAAAAGCTTATATTAACTCAGAATTATTGCATTCAATTATTAATTACATAATTAAAAAATCATACATGCTATAGTTATGAATGGAACTATAAGAAATTAAGTGTTTTTTTTTTATTTCACAAAGTTTTTACAAATTTAAAGATCATAATTTTTCTTATTTAAGTGATATTAAAGGAAATGCTAAATATACAAGTGTAAATAAGAAAAAAAATTATGGTTAGTCTTGTGTGAATTAGGTAAGAAAAATGGTTTGAGATATTAAATTGTCAGATATAGTATTTTTTTAACAACCAGTTTTTTTTTTTAATTTAATGGTTACATTTTAATTGAACTAAGAATAGTAGATAGAGCAACTATAAAATGCAATTTAAGTGTTCAGAATCAAAACTTAGGCCTTTTGTTGAAAGAAACCAGGAATTTATTCTTCCCAAGTTCCAAAATTAAATACAAAATTTATCAATAAATGGCACTGATTAAAGGGAAAAAATTATTAAATTAAAGAGTGCTGTTGTATGTTGAACCAATTTCATGAACTGTAAATTTTGCCCATATATGGTGTCACAGCAAAGGCTAGTTTTTCAGAAAATATTGTATAATAATTTTATGAAGTCAACAGTGCCATCTGTTGATAACATTTGTAACAAATTTCGTGAATTGGGAAGAATAAATTCTTTGATTTCTTGAGCAGAATGCAGTAAACTGTACATTTTTCTCTCTCTCTTTTTACTCCTTTAAAAATTAAGTTTTAAAATATAGTTAGCATTTCAAGGGATATCCTGTACGTAAAGACCCAAAACAAATTTACAACAGAAAATTTTTGGTTTGTATTTTAATTCAGATTATTTTTCGAATAATTGTCAAAAGCAACAAAAAAACAGGCCACCTGATTATCACAATAATTTTAATTGGCTCTTGTGCTCTTAGTTAGTGACAGCTGAAAAGTTATTTCGGCTGTGCGTAACTTGTCTTGCATTCATAGCCTTGCAATACTTATTCATGTATAGAAAAATTAAAATTTCTAAGAAGTAGAATCTTTTTTTTTTCCCCTAAAAAAAAAAGTTCTTTATGATTTTTTGTACAAAAAAAAAATGATTAAAAACAGGCTAGACATAATTTAAAGATAGAGTAGAACATTGATTATGCATATCACATTAACAACACCAAAATAAAAATTTTTTAGTTAATGTTTCAATTTTTAAAATTTTTTGAGATATCATTTTATTTTAATAGAATGAACTTTCTTGCACAGTTCTCCCAATTCATCTACATCATCATAGTTCCAATGTTGTATTTTCTCACAAGCAGAGGCTAATATTTTCAAATCATCATTTAAATTGTGCTCACTTTCTATGGCCTCAATTAAGAATTGGAGAAGTTTGGCAAACAACTGGATGCGACTATTTATTTTCTGATTCGCAGTTTTCAAACTGTAAAACAAAAACAAAATTATTTTATCAGTTTTATTTTGAAAGTAGGATAGTTGAATAATTAAATTACAAGGCAATTGATTAACATTCAATAAAATAAAATAAAAAAGATTTTTTTTTCCCTTCAGATTGATTTTTGATGAAAGAAATTTTTTCCGATTTTTTTAAAATTATATATTCTGAAAAAATTAGGCTGTTTGTTTCAAATAAAGACAAATTTCTTCTGAAAAAAGATAGTTATATTAAAAAAGATAGCTTTGCAATAGTTCATTTTATTATGCGTTAAGATATTGAAATTAAAGTTAATTTTTAAAGGAAGTTTTTAAAAAGCAGAGGATGATATTTAATAAAAAAAGCGATAACAAAAAAAATTTACTGTGTACTGTATAAATTAGGCTTTCAGTTAGGACAGGGTTCCCACTCTATGATGAGATTGAAATTCAAGGACTTTCCAGGACTTTTCAAGGACCTCAACAAAATTTTCAAGGACCTTAATCTAAGACCAATTTTAAAAATTATTCTCTTCTATTTTACTAGAAGCAACAATGCTTGTTGTGGCAACAATTAATTTCAAATATAATACCTAAATGCTTTGCCTATATAGAGAGAAGAGAGTATATGTATTATAAACTAAAATATATAGTTTTTTAAAAACAACCCTACTGGTTTTACATTTCACAAAATCACAAAAATTCACAAAATCATTTTCAGCACAATCTATAACAAATGGTAATGAGGTGTTAATGGTAAAATCCTTTAATCCTGCGTATTTCCATGAGAAGGCTGCATGAAAGACAGAGATAAATCTTAGGTATTTCATATTCCATGACTATTCCATAACCCCCTCCTCTCCTCTATTAAACATCGTTTCTGAAATTATTCATCCATAATTTACACAACCTTCTCTAAATGTTATGCAGCAACAATTCTTTCTGAAAATAAAAATTAGAAGGAACATATCCCATTTTCACCATGTTTAAAAGCATTATTCGTTATGTGTAATCCACAACTGCCAATGAATATGACCTGGTGGGAATATTTCTCTTTTAATTCACACTGAAGCTTCTAATAGAATTTCCAATTGACATAGGGTCCATCCATGGATAATTGAAGTATTTTAGAGAGCTTTTAACCATCATCCATGCATTTGTAAAAAGAGGACAAAATATTTTCTGCAGTTCCATGACCCATAAATTGGGAGGTAAGATACTTAGTGCAAACTTTATTATCAATTCCTTACCATAATGTCCATCTGCTTAGATTGTAGAGACTGATTTAACGTCTCATCAAAGAGTACAGTGTAGCAATCAACATTCTTCAGCTCATTTATAAGAATCCCTTTGAAGTATAGTGCCAATCCAAAGGAGCCCAAATAGGCTCACTTTGTGGCACTACAAAAAAATTGTCTCGCTATACAGCTATCAGCAAACATTTTGGAGAACAATTTACTAATCCCTTCACAGGAGTTACATGAATAATTACTAGTGATGCACTTCAGACTCCAGAGAATTTCAGCATCAAGCACATTCCTTTTGACCAGATAAGAAGACAATGTTACCTTGGCCACTAAAGTTTCTGTTTCACATGGGGCACACGATGTTGAAGGAGTATTTACACCAGATGAATTAGATGTTGATGTCTTTGGAAAAAGAGAACTCAGGGCATGAGACTGCTTTTTTGTTTTACCTTTCTTTCATGAGTGATTTCAGAGCAGATTCTTCCATTTTTGCGATATCGATCTCCTTCATGCATAATCGGCACTTGGGGATTAAAATAGCACTTCCCAGGCATAACTAGTCTAAACTTCATAACATAAATACGAAGCCGTGCCTTTGCGAATACGCTTTACAATAAAGTTTTGAATAAAGTTTTGAAATGACGCAAACGTAAGGACAAGTGCGGATGGTAAAACGGCAAAGTTATTGAAAACTGCAAGGTACATATTGTTGCAAAATTCGAGAGTATTCCAGTTTCGATAAGAAAAATAAGATCTAAGCATATGTGACAGAAGATGAAGTGGAGTCTCGCCCCGAACGCATTGATGTGCTCCGCGTGCTTGGCAGACACCAAGACGCTAGGCCCCGTTAGAAACGGTGGCATTAAAAACCACGTGAGAAAGCTCGGGAACAAAACAGAAAGAACGAGAAAGATCCGCGGGTGTTTTATAAAAAGGGCCGCTGGCAGTATTGAACAAATTCAAGGACCTATCAAGTTTTTCAAGGACCTAAGACGTTTTTCAAGCACTTTCAAGGACCTAAATTTAGCAAAAAATAATTCAAGGACTTTCAAGGACCGTGGGAACCCTGTAGGATGAAAACCTATGTGTTAAAAAAATTCCAATAATAAAACTATTTCACAATTTAAATAGAATAAATATTAAATACTGACCAGACTTAATAATTTACAAAACCAATATAGAATTAAATCAGTACAATAGAATTGTTCCTTTGCTCTATAATTGAAAGAAAAGAAAATTCAACAAATATTTAAACTGATATAATGGTTTAGAGTCAGGCATAAAACTTCCGTAAAAAGGCAAAAATGATTTAAAATATTCATTTGTGTATCAAATAAGACACCATATTTGAAAAATATCCTAAGTATCTTGAAGAAGGGAATGGAAAGTAACAAAATTTCAATTACTTAAGAGTACACTACCACATAAAAATATAACTACTAATATAAATATGTAAGACTTAAATAAACAAAACTGACCCTATACAAAGTTTAATTGGAAAAAAAAATTATAAATTAATTAGTGTATGATTTTCTTCCCTATAATTTTTACAAATCTTATTAATATTACTACACTAGTTAAAAGCTTGCCCCATTTTATTTTTTGCAATTTTATTAACTGTCAGATTAGTCAATTAAGTTTAACATTTCATTTAGTCATTTACACAACTCTTTCTCTGTTTGCTTTTTGTTAGTAAATTGGTTTAATATTTTATTTCTTCTTCATTCTTGAACAAATTTAAAATTGCGACATTATTTCATTTTGGGTATCGTTGCATTATAAAGAGTAATTTTTATTTTGAAATACATCATTTCCGTAAAGAAATGCAACCTGAAGACAACCCTTACGTTTATTCCAATTACTTATTTTTATTTATGTTTTAAATATATTTCTTAATTACCAACACAGTCACAAAATATTTTACCATTCTAAGTCTTTGAAGTCCTCGGAATCCATTGTATTTACATCTAATCTTTCCGAAGAGGAATTTCTCTCGCCACCTAAATCAACAAGAATAAATACAAATAAATTTAAATATTAGATAAAGAAAACATTTAATAAAAAATACTTTTTTATAACTTACTTTCAATAGCTAAATTCATTTTCCGACAGTTTTCTTCTATTTTTGCAATTTCCTAAGTTTACAAAAATATGCGATTATCTCAAGGAAATTGCAGAATACTAATAGAAATAACAATTAACAATAAAAAATAAACACTTAATTAACAACGCTAAAAAAAGATTTCTTTTCCATAAAAATAAAAGAGGTAATTGTTAAAAAATTTTTCCCCTCATCATCTTAGTTTTCCATTAAATGATTGATTTTTGTTTTCTTTCTGATTTTCGTTTGTTTGTTTCTAACAAACTTTTGATGATAGAGTATCATTTGATAGCAAGATATTGTTAGAATAAGATTAATATAAAGGTATAACTTTAAAGTTGTAGAAATAACACTAGATTTTTTCAAGCATTATGTATCGAGTAATTTTGGGTAGTTAATTTAATAACATATATTTGTCTGTTTTTAGCCTTTTTAAAATTTACTTCTATAATTGTTTAAACAGATTAATAGACTTAGATAAAATGAAAAACATTCAGCGAACACATTATCTCAATTAAAAACTTTTCAGCATGCATTGATTAACTCAAGCAACTAGTTTCAACCTTTTTGTCACAATTTCATTTAGGTGAAATTTGTCAGAAAATTAGTGATTTTTTTCAGAAATGTTTAATTTTTATTGAAATTTATATTGATTCATGTCACAGGGGTAAGTTTGATAAAGATCAAAAAAGCTGAAAAGAGAAATCCAAAAATGCTAGGTGCAAAAACACTTTTTAAATATATAATTGAAAAAATATCTAAAATTGGAGCAAGGGAAAAGTATGTAAGACACATTTATATACTGAATGTTATCAACGTTTTAATAAAAATATGGATGTGAGTACTTTATTTATTTATTCAAACTGTGTGAGCATGAATCTCAATGTGTGATTTTTGAATCTTAACACTTAATTTAATAAATCTTGACAATTAATTTTAATAAATCTTGACATTTAATTTTAAAATCGTGTTAAAACGATTCTCAATGTTTTGATTTTAAAATTGCACGAATGCGAATCTCAATGTTTCATTATGAAATCACGCGAATACAAATCTCAATGTTTCATGTTAAAATCACGTGAATACAAATTCCGATGTATAATTTTCAAGTCACTTGAACACAAATCATAATAGTAGCTTTCAAATCACATGAATGCAAAATGGGATATTTGATATAAAATCGCAAAAATGGGAAACTCAATGAGAGATTTTAAATCGTTTCATTTGGGATTTTAAATCATGTGAATGTAATTTTAAATTGCGTTTGCATTGGTAGGAAAAAGCATAAAAATGAATTTTTTTAATTTTACTCGGGAATTCGAAAAAGGCATACTTTCGTTGAAGAGGAGGGCTCTTTTTTTCTTTATTAGTTAATAGCAAAAAATTTTCAATGATGATGAAAAATTTTTCACAAACAATGATAAATTATACGAGTCTACAGATGAAACTGATCAGAAAATACAAAAATTTTCTTAATAGACTTGGCTAATAAATTTTTTTTATATTGTCTTGGTTTTATTTCTCTTAATAGGGCTCAACTAAAAAAGAAAAATCTTAATTTTTATTGGGCTGTAAAAAAAATATTTTTAATTACAAATTGATAGTCTCTTACTTCTGATGTTTTGGAATGCGCAGCATACCAAACCAACCAATAACAAAGTAATCATAAAATACTTATGTATATTAAAAAACACTTTGTCTAACAGAAAGTTTATCGAATGATGTTACATAGTTACATTATAAAAATTAAATTAGAAAAATTAATCAGTTAAAATTAATTAAGACTGCAGCATTGAAAATTAAAAGCTTTTTCCAACATTGATAAGGTATTTTTTTAGAGCATTAGTCTTTACTTAAGATGCTAAATCTATAAAGCAGGGCATGAAATTTCAGATCTACAGTTACTAACCAGTCACAAATTTTTGGTCGTCACTATTTTTGGAAAAATATAAGTAATTTTTAAAATGTTAACAGTTGTAGCATAAAGAATTTCTTTTTTTTGGTGTGAAAACCATAAAAGTTGAAAAATGGAAACACATTTTTGAAAAATAATAATAATATTAACTTAAAACAAGTACTTGAAGTTTCCTAAAGTCTTAATGGTTTCAATATCATCCATACACCATTGAAAATAATTAAAATAAGTAAAATATCAGAAATACTATTTGTCAATTGCAGCTCTAGTGTCAAACTCTGTAACTCTCACTCTGTAATTTTTTAGTCAAACTCTGTTACACTTGAGTCTAACTCTATTTTTAACTGGAATCAAACTCTGTTACCTACTAGAGCTCTAAATACTTGACCGACAATGGCGAGTGAAAATTTTGCATCCTGCTATAGATCGACATTAATTTACTTGCAATCTCTAACATTGTCAAGTTTTTCTGGAGATATATGAACATGGTTGTCATACAAATTATAAATCTAACTATACGACACTTTTCAACAGGGGCGTCAGGATAGGAAGTCAATGTGACCTCCCTAAGATTTTCATTATTCAGCTACATTTGCCTAGCTATTCGGCAAATTTACGAAATTTAAATTTTTTTTCCTTAATCTTTTTTTAGAAAACGCAAATAATTTAGTAGTCATTACACATTTATTGAGTTTCTTAAATTGGGATAAAAGAAAGTACGCTTACATATGCATAGTTTCAGGTATTCAATTAACAATTACAGTACGGAACCCGTTTTCCGGAAATCAGAAAACCGGAACGAAATTTGATAAATTTTCCCGCCATTTTTAAAATTTTTTTTTCTTTTTCCTCATAAAATTTTATGATTTTTCTTTCTTTTTTGAAAGATGTTTACCTTACCATCATTTTGGAAATAATCATTAGTGTATTACTTCATCGTTTTTATTATTTCCAACTATTTAAGATTATTTCCAACTATTTTTTATTTATTTTTTAGTTGGGTTAAAACGGCTTTTTGTATCGATTCAGAAAAACCGGAAAAATTAGTTATCCGGAATAGCGATGGTCCCGATCGTTCCGGATAATCAGTTCCCTACTGTATTAACATTCCCCCTTAATCTTCAAAATATCTTTTTTCAATCATTTTGTGAATGGAGCTTCCATTTCCGAAACAGACGAGTCAGTTTGAACAGATATTAGGAGAAGAGAAAAAGAACATATTAATTCTTTTTCTAAGACTTAATCTAAGACTCAGCCTTTCGACAATTAGTTTGTAAATGCAGTTTAGTAGTCATAAAGTCGTGTGCTGCATTAAGCTGAAAAATAATTAACAATTACACACGCTTAATTTTAAAATAAATTTCTTTGATGAAAAAAAGTTTAAGTGATACAAATTGAATATTTATCTTAAGGAAGTATTTTTTGATAATGATTATCAACAAAGACATGCCGTGATGGAAATTATGTGCCCATTGAAATATTTGAGGGGCATCTACAACTCTTTTGGTGGTTGATTTGGATTTTATTCTTTTATTTAATATATTTATGCTAGATTTATTTCATTTACTGACTGGAAAAATTAGTCATAAATGAGTCCAATAATCATGATTGGCTTACACTGAATACAAAGCAATGACACTTAAACTTAATAAGTATCTCTGCAAGAAATATTTGGCAAGTAAATATACTTAGAAAGTAAAATACTGAGCTAATCCCTTAATCTTAAAAAATAACAGTGAAAGCAATACCAGAAGTTGAACCCTAATCTTAAACAAACCTCAATAGAGAAATATTGGACAAGGGTAAACTGAGCAACCCTTTACCTTAAAGAAAATAAAAATTGTAAGGAATACTGGGCAATGACACACACCCTGCATTTCTGAATTGTTAATATATAATAATAAAGGGTGATCTTCAAGTACAATGCGTATTTCTTATGCAAATATTTTCCCTAATTTATCTTTTATAAACTGTAAGGAAAAAAAAATTAAAAAAAAAAAAACCCAATTGCTATAAATACAAAGAAATATTTTAATATAAAATACTACCTTGATACAAAATATTTTATGCTAAATATAAAATGTATTTGGCATATCAATAATTCTTTGAAGATTAACTAGTTTGTAGCACCAAGTTTGTAATCACTGCCTCAAATGGGAATAATAACAATCCATTTCTCCCACGCCTAAAATAATACACTTCCATAGTCTCAACTGAAAACACCTGATTCAAGATACTGTTAGATTCATGGGATGGTGAAAAATTGTGTATTCATCTCAGCTGTAAATGACTTCATTCTTTTCATTAATTAGATAATTCATTGACTAGAATAATTAATTAAGTATAAAATTGTTAAATCACTTGTGTTGGTGGAAAAACACACTATGAATAAATATTAACTACGTGTACCTATAATTACAAACAGTTATGATTTCGGTTACATTAGAAATTTCCTTCAGCAAAGTGTAAACCCCCCTTCCAAAAATATAAGTTCGCAGCATCTCTGTTTTTTTTCGTTACGCAAATAGATTTAGTTACAGGATTTTTATAAATTACTTACATAGACATTTAAAAAAAGAAGTAAACATATTTACCACTTGTCCTGATGATAATTCTCTCTTTAATTGTTCCTTTTTCAGTAAAAGCCCAAGAATGAGCCTAAAAACATGAAATAATATTTAATCTGATTAAATCAGTCCATATAAAATTTGCAAGTAAAATATTGTTTGTAATAAATTTTTTTTGGTTTTCACCCCCAAGTTTTGATGAATGTAGTGTTTAATAATAGAAGAAAAAGGCAATCAATCGATAAGCTATGTTAGAACAATAAACCATAATAATAAAATGAAGTGCCAAAAGTCTTATTTTTGAAAAGGTTGCTAAGAGAAGTGGTTTCTTAAAAAAATTTCAACATTGAATTGCAAGAATAATTTACATAAAAATTTAAACAAATTAATTGCACCCTATTTAAATATAAAGCAATAAAAACAATAGGAGTGATGGTAAAACAGATTTTCCATCCCCATTATTTTGTTCATGAAATTCAAAATAGGGTTGCCATTCAAAACTGGAAAAAAAAAAATTCCGTGTAGAAAGAAATTGCTTGCATTTTTCAGGTTTTTCCTGTTGAGTGGCAACCCTGTCAAATTTGTTAACTTTTTCTCCTCATACATTGAAATGTTATTGATTTGGGTTTCTCAAAACCTCAATTGTTCTAAACTTCAACATTTTTTTTTAAATTTTTTTTTTGCGTGTGTACAGTGCTTACAGGACTTACAGTGCTAATATTAAAATCACTCATGAAACAGAAAGGTAAACCTATATTTCTGGAAATTTTTTATAGCAATGAAAAAAAAACTAATATATTCTAAAATACAAGAGACTAGTTCAAGGTAGTATAATCTTGGTGCATAAGTCGACTTTTTTACCACCAAAAAATGTTCACTTATACACCAGTAATAAAGTTATATTTTGTTAATTGTGAAATATCAAGGCACTTTAAACAATACAATAAGAATAGCTCTGTATCAATTTATACCTTTAAAAAACTATTCTTAATTTGTTATACACAATTAATTTTGCATTTCCTCTAATCATATTTTCTTTACATATAAAGGTATTTCAATACTTTCAATTACATTCAGAAAATTTAGAATAAGAATTATTCAAAAGTATTTTTTAAAAAATGTAACAAAATAAAAACTTTAAAAGCCAGAAATTTAACGGTCTCAAAATTGTCATCCAAAGAATTCAAAATTCTACACTTTCTAAAAGATTTTATAACAACATTTGAATTTACATTTTGCTACGCATCTAGTATAATTTGAAACATGATAATTATAGGGGCAGCGTGGATATTTCCAGTTTTCATATGATTTTTTCCCCCCAATTCCATCAACAATGAATTCCAAAAGGATTAATTTTAGAAATTTTCATATTTGGTTTATTGATTGGTCCACTTATGTATCCAAAATACCAGAAATTCGTGACCTTGTAATCAAAATTAGGTAGTCTATTTATACACCATGATATATTTATTATATATAGGTATAAAATGTAAAAAAGGAAAAAAATCAAATATAAGACACAGTAATTACATTGACATGCAAATCGAATGAAAGGGAGATTGCAGAGAAATAGCTGAGATTTTTTTCATAAAGTGAAAATACTCCTTGATTCTTTTGGTGGAGCAAAATTCATTTTGGAGTGAAATATGAGAATAGAAAAACCATAAATCAGTGCTTAAAGCAATTCAATTGCTGAAAAAAGCTTTCTGCTGAGCTTCTTAAGGAAAGCCCAGAAATAACATCTGAAGTCTTAGCAACTTTGTACAGTAGAATTGTGAAACAAAAAGAATGGCCAGAAGACTGGAAGAAAGGTCTATTAATAAAAATAGAAGAAAAGGTAGACTTAGTGAATTGCAATAACTGAAGAGGAATTACACTTATAAGTGTTTCAAGCAAGAACTTTACCAGAATAATTCACGAGAGAATGATATACGAAAAAAAAAAAAGGAAAACAATAGTACCAAAACAGGCTGGCTTTACAGCCAACAAATCATGCACAGACCAAATTGTCAATTTAAAAAAAAAATAGTTGAACAATGAATTGAATGGCAAACAAAACATTATCTAAATTTTATCGACTTTGAAAAAGTATTTGGCAGTGTCCACAAAGAAACAGTTTGGAAACTATTAAAAAGTTATGGAATACAAGATTTATTCATAAATATTATCCAGAAAATGTAGGAAAATTACCATGTACGAACAATACATAGTGGATACCAATTACCACACTTTAAAATTTTATCAGGAGTAAAACCGGGAAGACCTCTGCCTTCTAACAAGCAACCTACAACATATGCAAACAAATAGAACTATCCTTTATACTGAAGCAAAAAAATGTGAATTAAAGATCAAACAACGATTAAGAAAATTAACCCAAAGTAGAATAAAACATACACACATATATAGATATACGTAAATATAATATAATAAACTATACAATTGAAGAAGTCAACAGTTTTTCCTACCATGGATCAATTATAAATGATAGAGGAAATACAGATCAAGACATTGATAACAGGTTGAACAATACACGCAGTGCTTCCATTATTTTAAATACATTTTGGGCATTAAAAACTAAATCAAATGAAACAAAAATAAGGATATTTAACTGAAATGTTAAATCAGTAGTCTCATAGGGTTCAGAAACTTGGTACAACCTGAAAACAAATATAAATAAATAAAAGGTTTTTGTCAACAATTGTATCAGAAGAATTCTATATATAAAATAGGTTTACAAAGCATCAGATACTTAATTATTTAAAATCAATAAACAATAACCAATAGAATTAGAAATCAGGGAGCGTAAATGGTGATGGATTGGACACGCTATCAGAAAACTGGAAAAATCTAAGTTCAATCAGGCGATGGAATGAACACCTTGAGTAAACAAAAGAGGGATATAACAAGGCGATTAACAAAATATAGTAGTCGTGGTGGATCAGGGGGTGAAGTGATCACCTTCCAATGAGGTAAACCGGGTTCGAATCTCAGCGATGGCTGGTCGATACGAATTCCAAACCCTGCTAGCACTGACTACAGTGCTAATGTAAAATATCCTCAGTGGTGGACGTATCATGAGTTAGAGCTCCCTTGCCGTCAGACTAACCGTTTTTGTGTGTTTTCCTCTCAATGTAACGCAAATGTGGGTTAGTTCCATCAAAAAGTCTTCCAGGAAGGCAAATTTCTCCCAATACTTGATCCAGGAGTTCCCTTGTCTTCTGGATTGGGTTCAAAATGACAAGGCTACAGAGTTGAACATTAGTAGGCGTAAGCCCGAAAAATTAGGTCGGCTGCTCAACGACGGTAATAAAACAAAACATAAAGAGCTCGGCCACCAGCAGGGTGAGATAGAGAGTCATGACAAAAGGCCCTATACTCCCTACAGAGTAAAGAATTATGAGTAAATCAAACTATAAATAACATTAGAGATCATAAGTGACCAATTTCATATAAAATAAAAAAAAACTTTCATGGTTGAAATAAAAGATCGCAAAGAAATGTGTACTATTTTGATAAGCATGTTTGACATTTAGTATAAAAAATAAAAATATATAAGTAAAATATATTATTTTCATTGAAATTTCAATAGCATCGTATTTTATTTTGTAATTTCTATAAATATACAGCATAATATGAAATCTCAAACATTTCCATTTTCTAGTAAATACACCTTACTAGTTTTTTTAAATGAGTATTTCTGATTTCCAATGCGTGTTAGAGATAAAAATATCTCTGGTTAACTAAACACCTGTTTTTTAAATTAAAAGATATATGAGCATTGATGAAAACTAATTATAAATGATGAGATGTAAACTACCATACATTTAGATAACAATGTTATTTACCCTCTTTCACCATCAGAAAAATCATAAACTTCTCCATCTTTCTTAAGAGAGCAAGGCAAACTAATCTTTCTTATAGTTTCCATAAACTGAACCCTAAAAATAAGTTTTATATTTTAATAACAATAAAATCAAGACTTGATAATGAATTAACCTAAATATTTATAACATAATAAACTACTAATTTCTAACACTTAATTAAGAATTAACTTAAATATTGACTATTAGGCTACATTAACTACTAGACCCGACAATGATTAATTTCAATGTTTATAAGGATGATAAATTATTAATTAATCTCTTTTTAGTTTGAGTAGTTTTTGTTAATTTTTTTCTCTAATGCTCACGGAAAAAAAAGTTTTTTTCATCCCAATAGATAGAAAACAATGGATAAAGCTTTTTACACATCAATTTTTAAAGGCAGTATGTAACACTTCTTTTATCTTTCACCTTCCAGCATACAAATTTTACGACAAATTCGGTTTTTAATACTTTTTTGGCATATTACGCTGGGATGCTTAAAGATCATTTCTATTCCACCTTTCCACACATCATAGAATGTGCCAATAGGAAGTCACATGACAATTTTTATTTTTAATTGAGGTTTTGTGCTATGTGGTGGCTCGTTCGTAAAATTTACCACACCTGCGTGGTCGTGGGAGGAAATTAAATAAATATTTCTTTCTCAAGTGTTTTCTAATTTCTTGTTAATAATTGACTTGTATTATTTTAATTTGTATAAAATCAAATATATAATTGATATCGATTTTCATGGGAAAAAATTTTGACAATCAGATGATCTCGAATTCTTTTAAAATTGTCCAAGGAAGAAAAAGAAGTGAAGGAAACATTTGGATTTGAGATTAAGAGCTATTTGAGTGAAGAAGATATAGAAATAAATAATATTAGTAGTGAATCTGCACTATATTTTGAGCAGTGATGATAATTAATGATTCAGATGGAAAAAATGATGTTCTATGTTGGTATTGGATTACTGAAGTCATTTGCACAGAATGCAGTGTGAATTTCGAACATTAAGAAATCTAATTAGAATCCTATTTTTCGATTATTACTGTACTCTCTTTCATTGCTAGTTTCTTATTTTCGTTCATTTTAAATTTTTTAGCAATAATAAAAATATTAAAAAGGTAGTTTGAAATTAGTTTTAGTAACTAGTTATTTATTTTCCTCACTTGTTTCACAGAAGTAAAATTTCTTGCAGAAGTAAGTAATGTTAAACTTTCCTTTTTTACTTATTTATACTTGCCTATGAAGAATATTAAAACTATTTTGCGTTTTAAAATATAGTTATTAACAAATAAATTTTTAAATTATATGTAATGAAATATAACATTGCTTTTCTACCTCCCTAGTATAAGGATTCAAAAACAATTTACTTTCATTTGAATGCATTTCCTTTTATAACAACAAGTTATTTTATTTCTTGACAAAATTATTATCAATATCCATTAATTTCTGTCATAGCAGTCGTAAAAAATAGGATGCGTGCAGTTTATTTAAATATGATGAGAGTGTGTGCTGGGAGGTTAAAACAACAATCTTCCACTTATTTTGTCTCAACAATATTTTTCCAGAATCTATTAAATATGCAATCATTAAAAAGAGAGAGGGATAATACTAAAATTAAAACAGCGCAATTTCTAAATAATGCATGTTGCAAAGGTCTATACTTGAAAATTATAATTTCTATACTTAAAAATTATAATATATTAAGTCTTTTCAATTAAAAAAAAAAGAAAAATGCAGAACACTATTAGTTTGACTTATAAATAAATAAAAAAATTAAGTCAGACAAAATCAGTTATTTGAACAAATACATAATGATTATGAACATCGAAGAAAAGAAAGAACAATTTATATGGAATGTTGAAATGTTATTAAAAAATAATAAAAAAATTTCAACTATTCTACACAGAGCAATAGAGAATAACTTATAACCAGTGAAAGACTAAACAAAATTGATAATTCAAGAATTAACACTTATTATGATATCCACATGCTAAAATATCATACACTTTATACATGGATGATGTAATTAGAGCATGGTAACAATAATGCAAAGAACCTTTTCTCAAATATTTATCTAAATCATGCAATCATTGTAGTTGTTGTCTATATCTGAAACATTTAAAAATGATCCGGGGGCTTTTTAACACAACATAGTGGTATTAAACCATATAATTTAACAATAAAAAATCAGGAGACTTGATCAATGGTTTTATCAACAACAACAAAAAGGTCAAGTTTGAAATGAATTTTATTTAATAAAGTTTTAATTCAGTACTGTAAATCTAAAATTGCAATCTAAACGAAAAGGAAAGAAAAAAAAAACTTTACTCAGAGCACATTATTTCCTTTAATTTTAAATCCATTTTTCTTTTCTGTACTTCATCTTCTAGTTTGGATATTCTGTAAAAAAAAAAAATAATAATAATAATAAATAATATAAAAGAAAAAAAAGTAAATACATAGATTAATAAAAGAATTGAAACTTGATAATTAAACAGTTTTAGTTTTAGAAATGGTACCAATTTTTTTATAAAAAAATTTCTTTTCATTTAATATTTATATTTTTCATTTGAATAAAAAGTTTTAGTGACAGTATTTTGTCAGATAACTTACTTTTCTTTCAACAAACTTTCATCAGTAAGAAATTCCTCTTCTTGTTTCAATTTTTCTATAAATTCAAAATGCCTATTAGTTAACTAATAAAGCAATTTAAAATAATATAATAGAAAAAATATTAAATACACACTTTAGTAATTAAAACTTAATAATAAATATAAAGGAAAAAAATACTTTTTTTCATCGATTTTAACAAAATAGCTTTAAATTTGCAAAATATATTTATTACCATAACGCAGTATTAAATTAAATAATCTAATAGAAAAGTATTTAAAAATATTTTTTCTTATTAAAATGATTTTTTTAATGCAAGAAATGTTATTTAAAAGAATAATTCATACAAATACAGAGTACAATAAAAATTTGTTTACACTGGTAACATGAAAAAAATTTCAGCAATCAAGTGAAAAATAAAATACTGAAAAGCACATTCTCATTTATTCATTTGATTGGAACAAACATAATGTATTTTTAACAAGACATATACATATAAAAATTTATTTCATTTGTTGTTTTAACTTGTACTAGCATTGATTAACCATTTAAAAACCATCAAATCATGAAATTGGTCATATTTAAAAGCATTTTGACTTAATCTTTAATCTGTTAACATTAATTTATTTCATATAGAAATATACCCTGATGGCTTATCTTAAGATGTAAGACAACCCTGATTTTGAATAAGTTTATAACCATCAAATTTTTATATGAAATATTTAGTATATCATAACCCAAAGACAATTTATTTTATAAAAATGTAGGTATAATCATAAGTTCAAATTAAATGGATTAAATTGTTGGTGTCGGATGTAAATCACATGAAAGCAAACAATGATTACTCATAAATTGTCTAAACTCTGCGATTTTGCTTATAATTTAAATGTAAACTTGATTGCATTTTGAAGCTGACATTTGAATAAAAAATTCTATGCAGTTCTTAACTTAAAAATAGAATATAAAATTCATTTGAAGTTTTTTATTTCAGTGTCAGACGTAAATTTTTCAAGTTGGATATAAATTTAAGTTAATGATAACCATTATAACGACTAGAAATTACTTTTAATTAAAATCTTAACACTATAAACATTATTTTACAATTAAATAGCTTCTTTAAATTAATATTGTCTTCTATTTCCTGTTTGAATGAATGGATCAATGTGTTTTACAACATTTTCCATCTTGTAAAAGTTAGTTGGAAAATTACTCATTTTAATTTTAACAGTACAAGGTATATTAAAAATTTTAAAAAACTTTTATTTAAGCAATATTTCTATAAATTTAATAATTTAAAAAATCCTGGAATAAAAAACTGCTGCTGATTTTTTTTCTTTTTTTGTCAAAAAAAAGAGGGAAAAAAATTCAACGACAGTTTTTTAAAGCCAAAAAGTTTCATTATTTTACAATAAAAAAAACTATTGAAAAAAATGGCATTGTACATTAAAAAAAAAAGCAAAATTTTTTTAAACTGTATTATTAGCCTATAACAAAAAAAATTATCGGGCAGGAAAAAGGATCATTTAATGGCTTTATTTATTGCCTGCATAAAATTAAATAATCGTTTCGTACAGTTCTTACAATCTATTGTATTTGATGTTTCAAAGTAGATGATATTAACCGATATATCTTCTACTTGAATTTAGTGGCATAGCTAATGGTGTAAAAGGAAGAACATATGTCCCTGGTTGCAGCATTAGAGATGGACCAAATTTATGAAAAAAAATTTTATATAAATTTTAGAGCAAATTTATCTCTTTTTAATACCCCCTCTACAGTTTCATCATAGGCCTAATAACTACATACTAGCAATTTTTTCCCCATTTACCTAAAGATTGAATAGGATGTGTGTTATTGTTCTATTTAATTTAATTATTTTTTCTTTACTAAAAAAAAAAAACTTTCAAAAAATACATAACAGAACATTTTGAAACTTTTTTTTTCTCTAAATACATGCATTTTTCAAGTTCTAAGGAAAATGAAGTTAAATAGTCTCTCAAAAACTTAAAACTGAGTTACTTTCCTCAAATAAATAAATAAAATAAAACAATTTAAAAACTTTGTTGATCAATTTTAAGTTATAATATAAATAACTTAAAGTATAGCATAGTTAAACAAATTTCATTAGGTTAATGAGGTGAAATACATTACTGTAAATTAACCTAAGGTGATGTTCAGATGGTTTCTATTCAGATTTCACTTCATTTTATAAAGAAAAAGCAAAATAAGAGATAGAAATAAATAAAAACAAATGAAATGCAGTGGTGTCTGACATAAAAATAATTAATTATAATTTAACAATAAAAATATTACTAACAAAATCTTACTTCAAACAGAAAAATAATTTAATTATGCTAAATCCTAATGGCACAGTACAATTAATTATGCATTTTGGAGTCGCACACAAAATATCAAAAGTGTATCTTAAGAATTTTTTTTGTAAATCAAAATGTGACATGTTTCTACACATTTGTGCAGGATAACCTGTTTTGTTGCAGTTCGATTTAGTTATTATTTTTTCATTTTTAATTATTAACAGGGGTCTGTCTAGGTTTTTCTGAGAGGTACCTATTTTGTGAAAATTGAGACATATTTTGTGAAAATTTAGGCATAATTTGAGAAAATTAAAAATTATATTAAAAAATCAACAAAAAAATATGGATTTATCGTTTCTTTCAGGATACAAAAATAAAATTTTAAGAAAAAGTGTTTTGTGAAACTACCGTTTTTCCTAAAGTTGAATTTGTGAAGGTACCGCTAAACGGTAGTAAATTCGGCCTAGACAGACCCCTGATTAATGTGAATTAAAAAAAAAACTGTACTTTGTAAGAGATTTACTTACCAAGGTTACAAATTTCAAATGATGTAGCCCTTCTTTTAACAGCCTATAACTTTTTGAAAACTGATATTTGTAAGTTAAAAATCATTATTTCTAAATCTTCAATTTTCTACCTTGAAAGTGATACCTTGTTTGCTTAATATTAAGTTAACTACTTGTTTACTTAAAATTTTGATCATCTGGTTGTCCAACTGGAAACATGTACCTGTACAGTGTAGAACGAAGAAATAAAGTTCCGTTTTCTTTCTTACTAATAAACAAATACAAATAATTTTTTTTAAAATATATTCTTAGTTTATACATCATTTACCATGTTTTCCATACATTCCTTGGTTTTTGCCAGCTTTTTAGGGTGAAAGAAGGAATAATTTCGGAAATGTGCTTGCATACAGTTTGACATAGTAATTAATACACAATTCAAATTTTGAATCAAAAATCATATATTTACCAACAAAACAGTAAAATTTAATGTTACATCTAGTCAGTTCGCAAAAAAGGACTTTTTTAAAAAATAAAATAAGTTATAAAAGATAAAAATGAAATCCAGAAAATTAGCATCAATGCAACAATTGTAACGATTTTGCTGTTAGCGATTCAAGAAAATTAGTGATTGGTTGGCTTTGCTAAGAAAAATAATTCATTTGATGGGAGTATAAAAGTTTTTGGAAAAAGAGTGCAAGATAAAATCTATTATTAAATTATAACCAATTATATTTTGGAAAATTTTATAAAGTTAAAAATGCTAAAGTATTTTGAATCACTTTGTGACAGGATTTGTTGATTTAAATCAGCTTGATTTAAATCAAATGATTTTTTTAAAAAAAATCATTGATATTTATCATTTATATCAACTGATTTTGTTTAAATATATATTGATCTTAAGAGTTAAAAAACAGTGTTTCAATTATTAATACTTTTATTGTTTTCTTTTCTTAGTTTTAAAATTTATTTTAGATAAATTGCTACATTAATTTTAGTTAACAACATTACTTTCTTTCTTGATGTGTGTTAAATTCCAACACATTTGAAATTGCATTTTTGAAAATCTATTGATTCTTGAGATTGAAAGTACAGATTAAAGTAAACATTTAATGCTGTCTTAATAGACTTGCATAGCTGTAGAAAATAACTAATAAACATGAATTATTTTCAACAAAAAAAAATTCAAATTATGTTAATTAAAATTCGACCTTTTGACCGAAAAAGTATGGAATTAAAATCTACATTATATTTTATTAATGTAGGATTAAAAATGAATATTTTAATATAAAAATAAATAGATTAAATATTTATTTTTTGATGAATGACTACATTTATAAACACAATCTGTTACATTTATTTTGTCATTTTAAAAATCAAAAGGAAAAAAAAGAAATCACAATTTTAGATTAAAATTATATTTTGCTAATTGAAACTTTGCTTTAAAGTTAAAGTACGGGGGTCTGTCCAAGCCAAATGTACTACCCTGTAGCAGTACCTTCACAACTTCAACTTTAGGAAAAACTGTAGAATAATTTTACAAAATATTTTTTCCTAAAATTTTATTTTTGTGTCTCGTAAGAAACAATAAATCCATATTTTTACAATATTTTGTGTTGATTTTTTAATATAATTTTTTATTTTCACAAATTATGTCTAAATTTTCACAAAATAGGTGCCTCTCAGAAAAACCTAAGCAGATCCCTGAAGTACTCTTTAAATTATCTTCTATTTCATCTAGTCTTTAAATTTCAATCATGCATTTGTTCCAAAATGGTTGCGATGCATTCAAAGCTATGTATTATAACGAAAAATTATTTTAGTAAGTTAAGAGCTCCTAAAATATTGCTATAATATAGTTTTAATATTAATTTAATTTTGACTAAACATTTATAAAGTATTTTTAATCATAAATTAAATTTTTTTATAGAGTATTTGAATAAAAATAAAAAAAAATTGATTTAAATCAAAAAAATCCGATATAAATCAAAAAAATCTGATTTTTTTTATTATTTTTAAAAAAATCACGAACCCTGCTTTGTGAACAAAAAAAAATAAAAAAAATACCTCCAAAGCATCAGAACAAAGTTGAACAATAAATGAATTCAGTACACAGACTAGAAGTCTAAAAAAAAACAGCAACCTTACTTTTATCCACAGAAGCAAATATCCTAACACTTTCTTCCACCTCCACCACAATTTTTGCTTTTTTTAAAGCTATGTAGTCTCATAATCTCCATAGAGATCAAATATTTCTCCATTCATTTAGCAACATGGGAGAGTTTCAGATGACAGTCTAGTTTAGCAGGATAATAATTAAGAGATTATTAATGCAAGCAAAGTATTGCTACTTGTTTGATATTTCAACTGTTTGAAAATAAATTCCCATCTACATATAGTGGATAAAACGGATGGTAAAATTAAAAAAAAAAAATTCCAGCTTTTTTTTAAAATTCCCTGTTTTTTCCCAAATTTTCTTAATTTTTACAGTTTAAAAAAATGTCCAGGTAATTCCAGGTGGGTGGCCACCCTAACTTTGTGATTATCATTCTAAATTGAAGGCTTAAAATTAAGAGTTATATATTATAAAGTAATCCTGAAATATTACCTACTTACATAACATTTTTTGAAAAGCATATCGAAAGCAACATGTAACTTAACCGTTTTGTAATTATGGTAATGGTAAATATATTTACTTTTATAATAATCATTATATAAATCTATTTTTGGACAAAGCACGCATTTAAAATAAAGAATACAAAACTGCTACAGTTGTAAACTTTACAAAATATTATTAAACAATCTGTTAAAGGAAAAATATATAACAAATTTCATAGCAACCAAAAGCTGAAATGGAAATTTAAAAAAATTGTAGAATTATGGAAATAGATAAAATTATTAAGTTTAAATTTTATCCTAATAAGTTCTGGAACTAAATCAGTTTTAATGCAATTAGAAAATTTTGATCTTTTAATTGAATAATTTTAGGGGATATTTCCTTATCGTGATCTGCCATGCCAACTAAAATCACCAAGGCACCAAATTGATTTTTAAATGGGAAAAATTGTACGAAAAAACACGTAGATGTTTGACTGAGGGTGGCTACGAGTTATACCCATAGAGTTGGCATTATTCTACCAAAGACCACGATATGGAAATATCCCTAATTTTCAATTTTTATGCAATTGTCTGTTTTTTTTTATTAAGAAATAAGAATAATAGCATAAGAATATAAAAACTATGATTACTTTGTAACAAAACAAGTAATAAATAGTTATCAATGATTTAACTTTTACATCAAAACAATCTCATTAAGGACTCCCGAAAATTTTAAAAATATTTCTTACAAAACCCGAAAAAGCCGGGTTCTTAAAAAAAAAAATTAAAACCTTGGAGTTAAGAAAGACCCGTTTTTTTTTTTAAACCCTGAATTCTCGTATTAGAACCAGGATAAGAATTAAGTTCATAAGATTAAGATATGATTTTTTCTTAAACTGAATTTCTTGAGTTTAAGTTTTTCTAAAGTGTCTTATGTTTTAAAATTTGTAACTATTATTAAATCCAGTAAACAATATGTCCTTATATCCGTTAGTTAAAATTTGCTCATAAATACCATATAGAATTGCAATTTCTAGCTCTTTTTCCTTTCTGTGTAAAGTTTGTAACATTGTGAACTGTTCCCACAAATCTCCTTTATTCATTTCATCCAAATCTTCTAGAAAGGAATCGGACTCATTTAAATTTTCGGAATGTGCAAAAGAAATATCATTTATTAATGCTTCAACAGGATTTTTGTTTAAAGATTTAGGCTGGTAACTACAAGCAGAAACTTCCCTCGATTCAATGTTCGTCAACTGATCCTTCCTAATTTGAGATTTATGTTTGATCACAGGTAAAGTTTTTTTCTGAGGTTTAGATTTTGCTTTTTTTCGAAGTTTAGGTCTTATAGATTGCTCCTCTGTGGGATAATTTGGGTCTATATGAATATTTACCAAGTCATCAATTTCAATTTTCTTTTTGCGAGGCATATTTTTATGATTTGAAAAAAAGTCTGCTCTCTTAAATTCACTTTCAAACTTTTCCTCTGATTTATGTATTTGCTTTTAACCGCCGCTAAAAATTTAAATTAAAGTCTTTAACTGTCTATTTCTGCGTGACTAAACTCAGTATCTTTAGCTTGTATTTATAATATCAATAAAAAATATAGCATATAGAGGGCGCTGTAAACTTTTGAGTTTACTTACGTCGCACTAGAGCAGCACAGTGGAATGCATGCGATGGTCCCTGTTCCGAAGAAATGCCACTACAATTTTGATCTTCTGTGGATGGGATATCTTCTCCTCGCCTTGGTAGCCAACACCTTCAAAATTTTCTTCGATTCCCGCTAAATGATATTCATTTTCATTTACCAAAAACTATTTTGGTTTTCAAAGATAAAGAAGCAAAAAATAAAGTTTATAACTATTTATTATTTTTCATAATTTAATTTAACTATGGTTGAAAATTTTTTGAGTTTGAAAGCATATTTATTTTAACATAGTTTTAAGCAATGAAGTAATAAAACTTTAAAATAGTATTAATAAGTAATGAAGTTTTCATTTTTCAAGTGTTGAAGTACTTAATTAATCAAGAGGTGTTTAATTTTCATTCAAATTTTGTACTTGATTATTTCAAAAAATTAAAATAATAGTATGGTTTTCAAACTTTTTCAACTGTCAATTGATTTAATAATAAATAAAAAAAATTAAAAAATACTCCAAATTTATGCAGTGTTGGAGATACTTTTAAAATGTCATAAAATTAGATCCCTAATGTCTTTCATTTTCAGAAAACTGAAACTTTTTAAAAAAAATTTTATTTTTATTTCCAATGGCAGACATGAAAGACAAATTTGTAGCTGAAAACAATATAAAGAAAAAACAAAAAACGGGAGCAGGAGCTACAAAAGGAAAGAATCTATAGGTCTGTAATAATGCATCTCGCTCGCCAATAACATTCCCACAAGGGCTCTGGAGGAAGTGCAGGGCAACGTCTCAGATGGTTAGCGTACATTTCTTGTTGTAGGTTACATAATGGACAAAGGGGGCTTGAAAAGATTTTGATTCTATACAGGTGTTTTGATAAACAGTCATGGTCAGTGGCAAGGCGAAAAAGGGCCACAGATTTTTCCCTTTGCCATGACGGAATATCTTTAATTCCTTCCAACCAGTCCTTATTTTTATTTGCTTCTTGGTGTTTTGCCTCAAATGTTGTTCGAAGAGAGATTTTTATTAGCCTTTTAGCGGTGTGGAAAGGAACTGACTTAAGAGATATTTGTAGAATCTTGGCGGCTTTTTTGGCCAAGAAATCTGCAGTTTCGTTACCTTAAAGTTCACAGTGCGCTGGTACCCATTGCATGGCAACATTTTTCTTCACTTTTTAAAGTATATCGTACAAAATGGTGAAGAAAAAAAAAAAGAATAATTTTGTAAATCTTTAAACGACACTACGAAATCATGCACAAAACCTAAAGTCATAAGCGTCATGTCATAATTAATAATATTGACATAATGCCAATTTTGCGTCCATTCACAAATAATTTTTGCCCTCTTTTGTGACTTTACTTTATAAGCTTAAACAAACCCTGTTTTTAGAAACTGATTCAGTCAACATGAGGATTGACTGTATTCAGTAACATTTCCTGTTATAGTCAGAAATTATCATAATCATCAATTTTCTCCGATACTTATCCTTATCTTTTTCGGTTGGAAGTATGGTTGAATGTATTTCCAGAGTGCCTATAGTTTGTAACTTGGTACCTAGATTAGTATATTTTGGTACCTATCTATGAAGGAACTCCAATCAATAAAACATTTTAACAGTTACCTGCTACTAAAATTAATTATGCATCATTGGCGTCGATAATAGTATGATGATTTTTTACGATTTATATAAACATATATCTTTTCTTCATTAATTTAACTTCTTACTACAATTTTTTTTAAAATTTTAATTTGTACTTATTTCTAAAATTAATTAAGTGCCTTTGGCATCAATAATCGAACTCGCTTTATGGTTCGCTAAAACGAATAAGTGTCTATTTTATATTAATTTTGATTTTTACTGCATAACTTATTTTGTATTTCAATTACCGGTGATTTTAAATTATTTAGTTTTAGGGAGACTTACTTTAAAAGCATAAATGTAAACAAAATAAACACATGGTTAAAAATGTTATTTGGTGACGTAGCCCTAACGTGTCATCTTGATCATTGAGCTCATTTGACATAGGGAATTAAAATTAATTAAATTTTAAAGAACGTGCAGTAAACTCCATATTTTAATTTTAAAAAAGTCTATAAGCTAGCGAACATCACTAATACTATATTTTAAATAATTTTATAAATTAGTATGGTCTGCAGTTTAATTTATTATAATGGTTAATTCTGAACCAATAAGAAAATTTCCTTTTTAAATGTCTCTCCCGAGCTTCTCATTTACAGTTTAGAACGACTTTTTTAAATCTGGAAGGGGGAGGGGGGTAAAATAGCTCCTTTCACTCTCTGTCCATATTTTAGAACTCTTATACAAACAGTTCTAAAGTCATAAAAGAGCTCCACGGAAAAATAAACTTTTCATTTTATTATTTTAGACATATTCGCATGCTAATGCCACTTTCGCACGTAGCGTGGGGTGTTCTGATTAGTTGTAAATGAAGCAACTGTAGCGAATAAGTTTAACACGTTCACAACGGTAACTAGAAAATAGCGTTTAAGGTTAATGTTTGGCATTTTTGTTATTTATTATTTTTTTTACATAAAGCATAAGAAAACCCCTTTTAAATCTTACTTGCGCTTTTCCTATTTAATTAAAATTGCACCTGACAAGAAGTTCCACTAAGCTTTTAAAATATTATGAAAAGTATGAACCAACATTCTTTTTTATTTCTGATTTCAAATATAGCGGAAACGGATGAGGAAGACGAGGTAACACATTTTTCGTTTCATCTTTACGCTAGAAAGTTAAATTAAAAAAAAGACCTAAATTATTTGTTGTTTTTATGAGTTGTTATCTTTTTTAATTTGCAGAAAATATTGTGTCCGTTTCGTATGGTTATGCAATTTACTCGAAATTGATATAATTTTTCCAGAAATGTTATTTTCGTTATGATTGGGTGTCGGCAGTCACTGTTATGGTCTGTTATTTATTTTCTTGTGGTTTCAGGAGGTAAGAATATTAAGTACTAAGTTTTAGTAAATTAAGTTTTTTTAATCTATACGAAAGAAAACTTCTTAATGTAGGATGAAACTTAGAGATAAATTTATTCGAAATTTATTTTAATGAAAAAAATCATTGCTCATTTAGAAAAATTATTTATACACTGCATAAAAAAAAAAAGAAAAAAACATTTATTGAGAAATCTAATGTTACCGAAAAAATTTAAAATTTGTGACTAACTTCTTTCAAGGATACTAAAACTTTTTAAAAAAAATTTCATAGGAAGTTTTTTAAGATTAATTCCTTGAATTTAACCGCTCATTTATATTTTCCTTCTACTTTTAATATTTATTTGATTAGTTGCGGATATTCTAAAGTACTTATCAATGATTAAATATGGCAGCAGAAGACTTTTTCCAGTATGTGTTAGCTTGCTGGACTATGGAAGCCTTGATATATGGACGTAGTATTTTTAATAATTTTTTTTAGCAATTCTTTCAGATAAAAAATTGCTAGCTATTTTATTAAGCTTTGAAAGACAGTAGTATTCTTAGCAAAAAAAAAAATTCCAATACTTATTCTTAACTAATGCATTTTTACGTCAGAATACAACTAACAGATTTTAATGATTGTTTATTTTATCGTGTATTTTAACGATATTTTAACGATATATTTAAATTAGTTTTTGCTTATCAGTGGTTAGACAACCAGAAAATAATGATTAAAATATGCATTTTTTTTTCTGTTTCCTCGTGATACTCACACCTCCATTTCTTGCTAGCTTCTAGCACAGTTTGATTTTGTAGATTTGAGTGTATATTATCAGTTTTTTTTGTTCTTAATGTTTATTTTTTATTATTTCATCTTGTGTTCGGCATATCACGTCTGCTTTTTGTTCTAGGAAACAAAACATTCAATGTTATTGAAGCTTATTATGAAGCTTATGAAAGTTAATATGCAGCTTATTGTTAAATGTATTTAGATTTCTCACATGTTTAAAAGGTATTATGTATGCGTGCACCATATACTACATGCATCATTTTATTATATAAAAGGTATTAAACATCCGAACCATAAGGGAATTGTGGCTGCCGACGTTTAATTCCATAGTCTTGTAATTTTGAACTCAACACAAAGAGGCTCCTGGATTATGCATTGGGACAAACTCCTTTATGTGCTGGCTGGACATTTCTAACCGTAGAGTACTGGTACTTGCGTCAAAGGAAGAGAAAACCTCGAAATTGTCCCAGAGGGTTTGCGTCAGAATACCTTTTATTTACTTATGAAAACACTGTGAAATAATGTGATGCCTCTGTGCTGTATCATCAAGAAAATATCGGTGACTGTATTTCTTAACACAAGCATTTTAAAAGTTCGATTCAAAAACTCAATTCAAAATTGGTTGTGCATTAATTCAAAATTAAACTCAGATTTTCAAAAAATCTGACTTAAAAATAATTTAAAATACAAGATATTTTGGTCTACCATAATATATTGATACTATAAATTCAGTAATAAAATCACTGGTTCATAAAATCAGTCTTTTTTTAAAAATCAAATTTGCAAGAACGAAATCATTACAAAGTCAAAACACTTTAAAAGTATCTTTAGTTTTAAGTCATAATTTCCCATTTTGTAATATCGTTTTGCTTTCTCCTTTTTATTATTTTTATTTTTAAAAAAAAAGTCTAAGTGTAAGCAGGTAAGCACAAGGATAAATGTGTTAAACACAAACGCCTATGCCGGGAAGTGGTGTTACGTGCGTCTATATGTGTCCTATGTATGGGTGGCTCAAAATGTGTTACAGGAAACCACCATCCAAGTCTTGAAAAAATAAACTGATGTCTGTATCAATGAAATTGAACCACATCAATGCAAAATAGTTATAGAAATTGTTGCGGATAGAGAGTTCGTATGCGCCAGCTATATCAAGAAGGCCGTATACATCATAAGGCCATAAACTCCATACCTCTGCATTCTTAATGATCATGAATCATTTCAAAAATATCCCAATGTTTCATTAAAAGCCGGTATTTTTTATTAAAATTACTTTCAGCGTTAATTTTCGGACACTCTTTTTTTCATAGATTATTCATTTCTTCCTTTAGGGGATTGGTTTATGGTTGAAGGCTGCCACAAAACATCCAAAGAGTTGCACATATGTTTGAACATCTACATAGAAAGGGATCTGCCCTTTGTAGAAACCATTATAAAAGGTCAAAAGAAGATTGGACGATTTGGCGGAGGAAGAATTCTTTTAGATGACTTAGATGTGCAAGTTATTTGCGAGTAAGATTTATATATATTTTTTTCACGGAGAAAATACATAAGAAAATAATAAGACTTTTCTTATCTTTGATAGTCACGCAACTGAGCTGTACGACTGTTATAAGACACCTATGCTAGAGTGTTACTCATACTGGCAGTTGTATGACTTTTTGAAAATGATGAGCTTGTTTCAAAAGCTCCACTCGTATCTGTGCGAGAAAACAACAAATAATGCAAGAGGTGAATTGTATTTTTAAAATATTTATGTGTTAATTTACTTTGTGATTAATGTAAAATTATTTTCTAAAATATGTTTTTACGAACGGCTTTTTTGAGACGGTTGAATCCTGCATTCAAAATTCCGAACACTTATCGACTAAGTTTGAAGTTTTGAATTTTCACTAGAGCACCGTGCAGGATGATAATGCAAATTTCAGTCGTTTCCTGGTCACAACACGTAAAATTTATTTCTTTTCACAACTGGTGCTGAAACGCCGATCCAGTTTTGAGTAGAGGGTAGTCGATGTTCAATTCCGTAGTCTTGTAACTTCGAACCCATCCCGGCAGAAAAAGGGAACTTCTGGATCAAGCACTGAAGCAAACTAGCCTTCGTGGAAGACTTTTTTGATGGAACCAACCCGCATTTGTGTTATATCGAGAGGAAAAACACAAAAACCTTCCATTGTTAGTCCGACAGCAAGGGGATTCTAACCCATTATTCATCTACCACTGAGAGTATTTTACGTCAACATTAAATAAGGTCGGTACGAGACAGAATCCGAATTTTTAGATTCATAAGAATTCTACAACGGGTTTTCCGTAGTTTCAGAATATATTTTTTCCAGTAGTATCTAAGATTATGTATAAATATTTTAATGAATTAGAATTAAAAGAACTTTTTTCCATCACTACTTATAAATATTTTGACAGAAAATTAAAGGTCAGATAGAGAAATGGTTATGCTCCAAAATCGTTATGAAGCTCTAATATTTCTCTTTTTTTAAAAAAAAGAAATTGGGCTTTAGTTCGCTGCCACTGACATATGTATAAACTCAAATATTGAATGGTTATGTAATAAGTACCAAATATACTAATATAGGTATACAATATTACATTGATATATTTGGTGATTATTAAAACTGCATCAATATGAAGCAGTTTTAATACCGATACTTGGGAATTAAGCATTTTACGGCACTTTGAAAAGGATATGTACCTGAGAAAATCGTTTAGTAGTGGTAACTTTTAACTATCATGCCTCGATCAATAGCATCATGCCAAGTGATGCTAAATACATTTTATCTTTTTTCCAATGGTATGAAATACAAACAACGAGCTTTGCTTACGTAAAGCCACCGAAGATTGCAACATATAATATTAAATAAAAAAATTTAAATTATTTTAGCTACATTAATAGAAAAACTTAGTGGAAGAACCAGGTGAAAAATCGCATAAACATCTCTAAAATTGTAAAATGATGTCTTAAATATTTCTTGAGAAAATTTAAAAAATGTCAAAAACTGAAAGTGTTTCTTCCATTATTGTATTGTAGTGCATCTTCTTCAGAAATTATTTGCATATTCAAGGTCTACCCGTTGAACGATTACGATTGTATGTAAATACGTGAAAATCTGATTATTAGACCAAAAGTTAATATTGTTTCCTTTTTTTAAAGAAAAAATAAGTTTTTCTTTTATTTTACTTATTTATTTTTCACGCAGTACTGTACTTTCCTCGCAGCAAAGTGAAATGCATTCTGCATGCTGTTCTATATTGCAGATGGATACTATTCAATATGATTCTCATATAGGAATAAATTTTAATACTTTTTTAAAATTTATTTTCATGTTTTAGATCTTCTTTTGAGTATGAAATGCTTGATGATAGCTGAAAGTCACATCGCTAATTGTTCGAACCACGGCTTTAGTTGGTCTTATACTTGGAAAGAAGTTCTTCGAATGCAAGTTTCTCCAGCCGAAAAATGTCCGGCTATTGACCAATACAGGACATGTCTCATTAATGGACTTAACAATGTCCCTTGCGGAGAAGAAGCAGGCCATATTTATGGATCTTTATTACAAACGTGGTATTTACATTGGTGTGATGATGTCGAAGTGGGCAATTTGCACTACACAAGTTCAGGGTTTAGATCAGAGGGTCTACAAGTGTTAGTCGTGGTCTCCATGTTTTCCTTTTACTATTTAACGCATGCATTTTTTTACAATAATTAATTTTTCTAAACAATTTTACTTCACAGAATAACAAGGATAATAGAACATCAGAATAATTATGGTAATTTTGAAAATTTTAACTACCACATGAACGTTTTTCTACATTTGCTACAATTTTGATAGAGATGTATTTTTTCAACTTATCATGTCTTTCCTACTTTGAACTTTAATTTTGCTAATGTATTAGAATATCTAAGAATAAATCAATAAATTAAATATTATGTTTGTCATTATATACGAATCGTGTATGTTATTGCTGTATTATTTTAACCATATATTGCTTTTTTAAGTGAGTTAAAAAAATAAAATTATTTTGATGATTCTAAGTTTAATAATAGATTTTTTTTAAGGATTTTGATATTTTGATGATATTTTAACTTAATCATTGATTATAGAATTTAAGATAATATTTACAGTCAATTGAAAATGTTGACACTGCAGTTGATGTTGTTAAAATTTGCAGCTTTAATATTTGTTAAAATAATATTTTAATTTAATAATATTCAATGAACTAGTAGATTTAAATAAAACGCTTTTAAATATTTTCTAAATAGATAAATTACTTTTATCTTTTAAGTAATAAGTGAAATTCAACTACAGCAATGTTACAAGTCTGTAAACGTCATGTAATTACGTAAATTACGTCATGTAATTACGTAAATTACGTACTGTAATTACGTAAATGGCTACCCATACATAAAAGAACAAAAATGTTCGAAGAAACATAATTATAATAAAATTTTTTTGCTGAAATGTTTATTAAAGTTTGTTGACATACACCACTGTTTAAAATAAAATAATTAGATTTGGCTAATTATCTTCAGAACTATTTGATTAATTTAATGAAATTTGATATGCACATAAGGTAATTAATAACTAATTAACAGTTATGATGCACACGTATGATTTTTTTTTGTACTCATTGGCGCGGAAAATTATGAAACACTATTCTTTTAAACAAATAAAAAAAGGTATTAATTGGTGCTTTATATAGGAATGCATGTTTTAGCACGTAATTTCTTGACGGCAGGTAGTTTAGAATTTATTGTGGCAATGTTACCACTGTTTTCTGATCCAAAATAATTTCTGAGAGGGGTTCCTATTCCTCTTCAAGATTTATAGAGTCGAAATTCGGGGACCAATATGGCCACTCCATCCGTCGAATACTTTCGCTTTCCAGAAAATCATCGAACTCCTCGTGAGTTTATATGTTGCCCAAGAAAGAAAAATCAGCGTCAACTGCAAAGGTGGGAATCTAGCATAGGTGCCCAAAACTTTATCACTGTACCTTAAAGCAGGCAAAGTACCTTTCTTAAAGACATGGTGAGAATGCAGTCACTCAAAAAGAAAGCTGCTCCAACCACCTAACCACCAATGTCATAATAGTTGATTTTTCAGATATTGGTGGGCAGATAGTGGATCACTGGTTCTCTACGTATGAAGCAATGGAACTAGAAATTTACCATCTGCTCATAAATATACGCGAATTAGTTCAATGATCACAAACCTCCCCATATGTTTCAGAGAGGCACTTTGACTGGTTTGAAGTATATGGATAAATCCTCGAAGCCCTATGTTAATTTTTCTGTGGTGCGTTGAACATTGTTCCCCCTTAATGGATGTCAACATGAGGGCACAGAAAAAACTCATATGGTCTATGATTCCTTGAAGAGTGAAAATATTTATCGAGTGGTTATCCAGCCATGTTTTTTAATCCTCAATCCTGTGACGCATGTCTGATACGCTCAGGAAATGGCTAATGCCACTTACAATCTTTCTTTGAAAAACATCTTGGGCCAGAAAACAGAATTGCTGTACGTGTGGGAACACTCGTCAAAAGAAATTCTAAACTACCGTATTCCAGTTTGAAACCACGTTGTTAGTACTGTATATTTTCAAGGAGGTGACATAAAGGTAACCAATTCATTTTTTTGTATCGATTCTATGACCACTGTTTCATACTTTCTGGTCCCGCGGTGGACTGATCATAAAGACTCGGTTACCAGTAGAACACCAAAGTCAAGCATCACTAATAGCGGTCAGTAAGCGGTAAGCGTGACCTCCTTGATCAGCCTACTTAACGACAGAGGGTGTGCAGTATTGGTCTTCGTTAAACTATTCTACAGTAAAGTACTCGACTTCGAGTGCTGGTCGTCGGGCTATCAAAGCGGCGGAGCCATCCCCTATGCAGAGGATCAAAATTATGATGGCATGCTTTCGGATCATCCTCAGAAATGTTTCCCAGATGGTCACCAATAACCCATTGTGGAACCATGGTGGCTCAGGGGATGGAGCGTTCGCCTTTCAATAATGCGAACCCGGTTCGAATCCCAACGATGGTTGATCGATACGAATCCCGCACCCGGATTGCACCGATCATAGTGCTGACTTAAAATATCATCAGTGTTAGACTCCCCTTGCTGTCAGGCTAACCGTGTGACGTTTTCATGGTTTTCCTCACCATGTAGCGTGAATTCGAGTTAGTTTCATCAAAAAGTCCTCCACGAAGGTAAATTTCTCCCAATACTTGATCCAGGAGTTTCTTTTTCTTCTGGATTGGATTCAAAATTGCAAGGTTGCGGAGTTGAACATTGATAGTCGTAAACACAAAATTGAGTCGGCTGTTCAACGACGTTTATAAAATAAAATAGCCCGTTGTGAAACTCTAGAGCGACGAAAATAAAGTCTACATCTTTCTGACTTCAATGTGTTACACATAGTTTTACGAGTGTCTTACGACTATTAAATAGTAATTTTATTTGTGTTATATCAACCTGAGTCCTGAGCAAGTTTAATTAAAATCTGCTAGTTAGTTTTAGAGATAATCGATCAAATTAAAAAATTCTCATAATTTTTAATACCAGGGTACTTTAGGTAAAAAGTGATTTGCGATAAAAATTTCACGATCATTCATTTATTTCAAGAAATGAAATTTCATAAATTAAAATAATGATTAAATCTATTTGTAAGAATAAATGACTGAAATACATGAATAAATCTCGAACTAACAGAAAAGTTATAGCGATATGTGTGGAAAAGTGTTCTAAGAAGCATTTACGTTTCTTCAATTTTTAATCAAATTTTCTAGAAAATCATATCAGCTGCTGGTCATCCTTTTTAGTTTTATAAGTGTTACTGAGACTTTAATGATAAAATAGAATCAATCAAACAGGTTTCCGGGTGCGTAACCAACAAGCGTGCAGCACTAGTTCCTTAATTCCAAGCTACCCTCCTATAAAAGTGGATTGGCCCATACACTTTACTGGTGGAGAATGATAAGGGATGCATGCAATTCTTCAATTTTAGAATTTATTAATCTTCAAATTCAGAATTTTTCAATTTTAGAATTTGGAGATTGAAAATAAAATATTACTATTTCAATAATTAAAAAAAGAACTTAAAATCATTTCGACGCTTTGAGTTTGCATGAACTTGTATTATTTTAAAGTTAATATAATTACATATATTCAGTTTTCATTAATAATTGGGATGGGTTTTCTTTCTTCTGCAGGGCTACGAGTTTTACTCAATATAAATTAGAAAATTGTCAGAGTGGAGAATACAGGAAATGGCCCTTTATCTTTCAAATTCTCATTATTTGGAATACAAGTCATTAAGGGTGGTGGTCTTTAACTTTAAAAATCACCAGTATAGGGAATACCGGGCAAAGTGTAAAATTGAAAAGGGTGCTTAACCAAAGAACAGTTTAGGAGAATATGCACTCCCATTGGGTGAGAGCTAAGAATTGTATGGTTTGCACTGCACGTTTGTTGTTTTGTATTCTTTCATGCCGGGTATTTAAATGTCTTTTCCATGGAACTCTTTTAATCTCTTTCGCGCAAAACGGAAAAATATAATCTCTTGCATCTAATAAAAATACAAAGATTGAAGCATATATTTTAAAAAAAAGCTGTACTCTACTTTGCAGTTAGAATATTTATCTTAATTTATCTATATCGATGAATGATATCAATAATAAATGTCATAATTTATCCATACCGATGAACACAAAATAAAAATTAGATTAATTGATTCTACGATCTTAATGGGGCATGATTCTAAAAACAAGATTTCCTGAAAATTGTGTTGTCTTAAGATTCGCGAATGCTGCGCGATTAGGAATTCTATATCTCTAAAAATTCTCATTTTAGAGAATCATTTTAAGATACTATTATTTCGGAAAAAGTTCAGAAAATTTAAGAAATTCAGATAGATAAAAAAAAAAAAAATAGATTTTTGAAATGTTGCATGAAGAAAGGATGTTTCGTTAAAAATATAACTGCCACTACAAAAATTAAATACCAATTCACTGGTATATAAAACATGTTAACTTGATTCCATCTTGAGGAATCTTTTGATAGATGAACGCTGACGTAGTCGAAAATGATATCCCTACCTTGGTGACTCCAGGCATGATATGAACACGCCATCATCGATGTTTTAACTACATTGAACAGATCATTTGCTCTTAAAATGGCGGTAAAAAATTCGGAGAAGTAAATACTGTTCGCCCGGTCAAAGAAAGAAAAAGGAAATAGATATAAAAATATAATGAGCGAAAAAAAAATTATTAACTAGTGGTATTCGTTCATCGAATTCTATCACAGATAAAATTCTGGAAGTGGTGTAATGTAGCGTAAATACTACTAAAAATATTAAATATCACTATATTACTTGAAAAAAAACACACACAAAAGTCAAGTATATGTAAAGTTAAACGAGAAAATTTAACACTAGAAAGACTGAAATACCTATATTGGCCAAAAGCAGTCAAAATGACTGCATTGTGAAAGAATAACTAATGTATAATTAAATTTGCTTAAAATTAATTTTTAATATTTTCAGTTATATAACAAGTTGTTAGTAAATATCAACAATAAAAATAATTATGAAATTCACAAAATTCTAAGAAATTGTGTCATTATATACATCATTGTTTTTCTAATTGAAATTAAAAAGCAGTCAAAATGACTTCCTTGGGCAATCTAGTGTTAAATAAAAAAGTAAAAAATATCCTTAATTTCGTATCTGCAAAAGAAAAAATATTTTTTTCAATGATATGGTCATAATTATAATTATGATGAAAAGTATAAACAAGCTCTCTTTTTATCTAATTCCACAAGAGGAAGCGGAAGGGGGAAGGCACATTTCAACACATAGTTTGCGTAGGATGGTGTGTTTTCGTCTCAAGAAATCTTACATTAAGAAAATTAAATCACTCAAGATAGATATTATTTTTTTATGACCTGTCACGATGTTTCTGAAAAATCAGGCCTTATGTCACTTATAAAATTTCTACAACGATCTGAAATAAACTACCACAAACATGCCACTTTCACCATGTTCGGAGACAAACTCACACTGTTATGGAGTGCTATACATTTTCTGCTGTTTTCAAGAGGTGAGAATGACTAACGTTTCTTTTTAATATCCTTATTAAATGCTAGATGAAATGTTCTCAATGGAATGCTAATGTTAGAGATATTTACTTACGATCTAAAACTGACTGAACTAAGTTCTCAATGGAATGCTAATGTTAGAAATAATTAATAATGATCTAAAATTGACTGAAATATGTTTTCCATGAAAAATGTCAATCTTAAAAAAAATTACTAATGATCTAAAGCTAAATAAACAAAGCTTTTAATAAAATACTAAAGTTAGAAATAAATACTAATGATTTAAAACTTAACTAAGTTTTCGATAAAATGCTTAGGTTAGAAATGATTAATAGTGATCTAAAACTGACTGAACTAATTTTTAGAAAAAATACTAACGTCAGAAATACTAGAGGATTTGTTATAATGTACCCAGTTTCTTAAAATCCCTTATTTTTAAAATACTTGCCGAAATTGAAGTAAATAAATGTACGCAACAGGGTTAGATAATACATATTTACGGCAAGTATTAGGGAAAAACAATCATCAACGAGGAAGCCGACATTAAAAGTACAAAAATTTGCTTGATTGCCGGTGAAAACTCGAGGAATGCAATAAGCGACTATTAGAAAAATCTTTAAAGTCTAATCGAAAAATCAAAAAATCAAACTGGCTCTTATATTCTTAATCTCGCTTACGTTGAGAGTGTTTTGCATCAGAAAATAAGATGCACTTTGTAATAAATTAAGTTCTCGGCGTGAATAATGTTATTAAATTTAAAGAACCATTATTATGTATTGTGAGAATCTTCGTCAAAAATAAAAAAAAATTAAACTTATAAAAGTTATAAGTCGATATTTAAGTTAGACAGGAATGAAAACGTTATCGAAATCTTTGGAATCACTATTGAGGAAGGTAAGACGAAAACATTAAAACCAGTTTGATTGCCTTATAAACTTGAAGTATTTTTCTAATAATAGCCTTTCATCATCTCTTTGTTTTTTTCAGAAATCAGAAATATTTCAAATGGTGAAAGTCCGGTTTTTTTTAGAAGTTATTCTTACAATTTTAATAGTGTTTTAGTTTTCTAAAACATTAGTTTGTGACCCTTCATGTGCAATTTTTCGTCGTCTTTTGTGACAAGTATTTTAAAAATAAATATTTAAGTGGTCTTTGCTGTCCTATATTCCATTATTGGTTAGGAGATACTATGTGCATTCACACTGATTAATTTTATCACAAATATATCATAGATGGGTAACGAAAAAAAAGTTGAATTTGCTATCTTAGATATACAAAATTTGTTTTCGTTTACCTCTTCTAAATGCTTCTAAGTGCCTTTTCCTTTTTTTAAAAGAATAGAAATTCCCTCGACTGCCTTTCAATTTCATTCGACAAATAAAGTTGCAACAATGATTTTAATTTGATGCTTATTATGAATAGCCCAATACATGATGAATTCATTTTTTTTCTTCAAATTTTTGACAAGAGCCCTAAACAAGGGTGATTTCGATTAACATGAGAGAAAATGTTTTCATCGAATCTTTTACGGCGCTCCCTACAAAGGTTCCATTCAATGTAAAATTAATGTTTGGAAAGTTTTAGCTCAATAAAATTATATTTATTATTTTATACTCCTGCGATTGTCATTTTTTTAAAAAAAAGCAGTTTTTTTCAGAAAATTACACATTTTTTGCTATGTTACATAAGAAGGACAACCACGAAAACCTCCCTAATGTTACACAGGCATCAAAAAATTATTTACCTTTTAGAGAAATGATGAAAAGCAGAGCCGTGGTCGCTCAAGGGACAGAGCACTCGCTTTCCCACGAGGTGTCCTGGGTTCGAATTCCAGCGATGGCTGATCGATACAAATAATACACCCGACTCGTACCAACCAAATGCTGACATTAAATTTCCTCAGTGGGAGAGGGATCATGAGTTAGAGTTCATTTGCCGTCAGACGGTTTTCGTGGAAGTGAAGGTTTTCGTGGTTCTCCTCCCCATGCAGCGCAAATTCGATTTAGTTACCTCAAAAAGTCCTCCACGAAGGCAAGTTTTTCTCGATACTTAATCGAGACAAATTTCTTTCAATATTTAGACTAGGCAAATTTCTCTCTATACAGAAGTTTCCTTGTCTTTTGGATTGGGTTCAAAATTAGAAGGCTACGGAGTTCATTAATCGTAAACTCAAAATCGGGTCGGCTGTTCAACGATGGTTATAAAATAAAATAATGAAAAACATCATTTAAAGCTGAATAGCCCTACATTTGGATTTCATATCCACCTGATTTTCGTAAAAAATTAAAGCCTCCCAAAATATTATCGACTCCTCACATTTAGTTTAAAACAGCACTGAATATTTTTGATCGTGCAAATCCACCGATTTTGGAGATGATTGTTTTGGCGTTTTCTCCGCTGTTTTAATATGTTCCACAGATTTGGTTTAGGGTTCAAGTTTGATGATTTATAGACTAATTGAGTTGCAATAGGGTGTGTGAGTGTTCATAAAACCTATCACACACTCACGAATTTAGCTGCAGCCATGTTGAAAAATATGAGCATCAACAGTATAAAACACATGATTATCCAGAAAGTAAAACATTTGAGTTCATGTTAGTGTTCACTTAAATGAGTGGACCCAAACCATAACAAGAAAAGCATTGAGCTGTAATACAAGTAGAGCAAGCACGAAGCTCTATTTTTCCTTCTTCCGAAACATTAGAATCTCGACTGTCACTGTCACGAATCAATGATTTTGGCGTCGTGTGACAGTTGAGACAAGTTCTCTTGTTTTAGATTCGTATTTTGCACTTATAAAGTACATAATATTACATAGTAACATTTTGTACTTATTATAAAAAGACAAAGGAGGAAAGCTGAGAGCTTCAAGAGCTTTAAAAATAGCTGGACAGTAAAATATTCGATCATTTTTCGACAAGACTTTGCTAGATTAAAAATTATTATATAATTCCAATTTTTTAATGTGTATAAACGGTACAAAACTGTTTACATTTTTACAAAATTAAGAAAGTTATAATTTTTGAAGGACTTTAGAAACTACGAAAATTCTTTTGATAAAACTTATAACAATTTGATTCAAAAACATATGAAGTTATTTTGTAATAGCCCTGCATATTAATGCATAATAATTTTTTTTAATGGATTTTTCCATATTGAAACACATAAAACGTGTTTAATTTCAATTTAACATAGATTTTACAATTGTACTGCATGTTGTAAAATCATGGATATCTTTGCATGTATTTTATTCTTTTATATTTTATAAACGTCGTTGAACAGCCGAACGAATTTTGGGTTTGCGACGACTAATGTTTGACTCCGTAGCCTTGTAAATTTGAATCCAATTCAGAAAATAAGGAAACTCCTGGGCCAAGTATTGGGAGAAATTTGTCTTTGTGGAGGACTTTTTGATGGAACTAACCCACATTTGTTTTACATGGAGAGAAAAACCACGAAAACTTCCCACGGTAAGCTTGACAGCAAGGGGACTCCAACCCATGATCCATCTACCACTGAGGATATTTTACGTCAGCACTGTGGTTTTCCTGCATTTGGAATTTTAAAAAACAATTGAAAAACATCTGCATTTGGAATTTTACAAAGAAAAGAAAGGATTTTAGTCAAGTCAAGCAGTCGGAAAGTAAAAATAAAAATTGAGAAAAAACTGCTGCATCACCTTAAAAATATCCGCTTCCTTCTATTTAACTTTCTGATTCTATTTCAACTTTACACCTGCTATGTTAAGGTTAAACAACTTTAATATTTCTGGTAGTATTCCTGATTTTTTTTCATGTGTTAATGCAAGTAAGAAAAGATCTGATGATTTCAATTAAATAAAGCCTGCTATTATTAAAAAACTAATAATTTAGTGTCAAAAATCTTTGATCAATTTATCAAATCATTTTGTATTAATCTTTCATAGCCCCTCTTTTGTATGAGCTAATGAATGTGTGTTACAAACAAAGCTAAACCTAAATCAAGCTACTGAAGTACATACAAGGTGTCTCACGATAATTAGAACAAACTTAGAACTTAAGGGAAAACAGGGATTAAGAATTCCATAGCAACCTATGATAGTTAACGTCATAGGAAATTAGAATGAAAGGTACAAGAAACAAATGAACACAAGATTGAAAAATTTATTGCATGTGCTTTGGTAGATGATATGTAAAACTGTCACAAAGTATGTCCGAAGTTTTTACCATTGCTAGCGATTAATGTCTTTCATCGTCTGGCCATGGAATGGTGTACCTGGTTAAATACACCTGGATTTCGCTGCATATCCGCAGCGCAGCACAGACGATTCTTGCAACCAGATCCATTACGAAATCTACAGGTGCTGCGTACACCGCATTTTTCAGTACACCCCAAAGAAAGATTACCATGCTGCTTAAATAAGGAGAGCGTGGTGGCCAGGAAACCGATTCGCCATGCCTAAATCATCTTGGGAGCAACACCACCTAGCGGCAAACGAAGACGTTTTCGACCATAGGTTGCTATGCAAATAAGAATCTTTGTGATGTCTCTTACCTCTTTTTAAAGTTTGTCCCAATAATCCTTGGACGCGTTGTAGAAGAATTTTTTCTTACATTAGAGAGGGTAAAAATATAAAACGCAAATAAGCGAAGAATTAACGGAACAACGATAGCGCCAAAACTTCACCAACTACATTCCAGCTCTAAAATTGAAAATAATTATGTACTAATAATGGATAATTCAGTAAAGTACTAATAATGAATGATTCAATATAATTATCCCTTTATGGTTTAGTTGTGTTCTTATTTGCTTATATTTACGTGTAAGATATATTTAAAAGTATAAATTTGGATTCTGGAATGAATAAAATTCAGTAATTGAGATTTATGTAATGTTTGAAATTAATATAAAAATTAATATAAAGTTCATTCATATAATTAATAAAACAATAGTAATGCCGAAAATTGATTAGTTAACTTATGAATTGTATAAAACCCACTTTTAAAATTTTTTTTGGACAATCAAATGCGGCACGCACAATAAACTACAATATTTTAAGATTTTTAGCTTTAAAATTCCAGTATCGCTTTCTTCCATTGAAATAACAAAAGGAAACGAAAGGTTGAAAATACTATCTCTCTCTCTCTCTCTCTCGATTCTCCCTACAATTACGTGGTTTCATTATGAGGAAAAAATTATCGTTATGTGCGAGCTCTATTATATTTCACATCTATAAAGAGGACCTCTATAAAACAACACATAACTTGAAACCATACATTAACATGATTCTAAGGACTTTTCAGGATTTTGCAAAGGGCCATATTTTTTGTCCTGTGAGCTTATTTGGAACACTGATTACGTAAGGTTTTCTGTTTATACGTGATATGATAGAATTTTTTTTCTTTCCAGGATGTTTATTCTTGGTTGAAGCCTGCCATCCCGAATCTAGAGAGTTGCACATATGTTTCAACATTTATCTAGAGAGAGACCTACCTCTGGTGGAAACGATTGTAGAAGGTCAACAGAAAGCTATCCGTTATGGCAATGGAAGAGTTCTCTTGGAAGATACTGACATACAAACGATTTGCAGGTAACATTCTTTATTTTCTTTTTAATTAAAGTTAGGCAGGTACTTTATTTACGTCATACAAGAGCTGCACAATGGGCTATTAGCGACGATCTGGGAAACATTGAGGGTGATCCGAAGACATGCCTTCGTAATTTTGATCCTCTGCGGAGGGGATGGCTCCCCTGTTTTGGTAGCCTGATGACCTACACGTGAAGTCGAGCACTTTACGGTTGAACAGTTTGACAAGGACCGATACCGCGTACCCTCGGTTCCTACACAGGCTGATCAAAGTAGTCATCCGCTCACTTACTGATCGCAGCCAGTGATGCTTGACTTCAGTGTTGTACTGGGAACCGTGTCCCTTACGATCAGTCCACTGCGGGACTACTTTAAGGGAATTATTCTGTTGCTAGGCTAACTGCATGAAAAAGTAACGGTCACGAATCTACTATCTAATATCCGTGCTTATTAGCTGATTATCACTCTATAACAAATGTTAACGATTTTTTTTTCTTTTCGTTCCTTTAATGAAGCTACGTGATTATATTAAAGCAAAAAGCGCTTGATTTCTGTATCAAAATCACAATGATTTATTACATACAAATTTTGTTGGTGTTGGAGAAAAGTCGCTAAGCTTCTAGGACTTGAATGCATGATATCTCGCTTCCGAATGCATGTTGAGCCTCGAAACTTCGAGAAGAAAGATGGCTTTTGAAGCTAAAAATGTCCATAAGTCGCTTAGATTATCAAAATGAAGGCTAAGTTTGTAATGGTGCCACAATCCATCAGTGGTCCTTTCTTTTGCCTTATGTTGTTATTGTGTGCTGTTAAGTACATTAGGTTATCAAAGTAAAGAAATTTTGGGTAAAGGATATATAATCAATATAATTGCAGAATCGTTATTTTGAGCCAAAGATATACAAGAAATACATATTTTAATCTAAAAGGCATTTTCTTGCTATACGATGTTAGAGATCATATAATGTACAAAATATTACCATATGGTATAGTAAAGCATCTTAAATTAAGAAAGGAGTAAAAAACAAAGGATGGATGACCTAATATGTTTTAGACAAATATATCTGTAACGTGAAGAGTTATAATTTCCCCCCCCCAAGTTTTAGTCACTGAATCATTTAAAAAACATAAAATCGAAAACATAAAGGAATAAGGAAATGACTTAAGTTTAAAAATGGTGTCGATTTATAACAAATTAATTGCTTGATTTAACCATGATTGATGAATTTGGCTTTGTCATATTAACTGTAATTAACTGCCTTATTTCACTTTCCTTAATTTAACGAATAGAGAAACATATAGTTTCCACGCTAATGCTAGAGCATATGAAAAACGAAGTTTTTTTTTTAAATATTTTTTTATTAATACGTGTAATAATGGCAACAATCTGGCCCAAGCGGTTTTGGCGTCACGCTTCGGCAAGAAGCTTAACTATCAGTTAGATTGATGAATAGGATACCTGCAAGTGACGTAGCTCGATCCTGATTGGTTGTTGAAACGTTGCATTTGTTTACGTTAGCAACTGTTCTTTCCATTCTATTTCAAGTAAGCCAAGCTCTTCAAGTATTAATTCTCTTCTATATTCTTATATGACATATTCTATATTCTGATTCTTCTATATTCTGACATATTCTACATTCTTTCTCAAAGATTTCAATTCTTTCACTATATAGATTTCTTACTGTATAGACTGGCACGAAACCATGCAAAATATAAACAACCTATAGTTTCCACGCTAATGCTAGAGCATATAAAAAACGAAGTTTTTTTAAAATATTTAAATACATCGAAGTTCCCACGTGCACAAAACAAAAATATATATGGGTTACAATAAAATACAAAAGCAAATAATAAATCTCAGTTAACGAAAATGCGTAGACGAGAAAGAATTATATTTCAACAAATTCGATATGGGTTATGGCGCCGTATTTAATTAACTTCACGTTAATTATTATTCTTACTTATATGGAAGAACTTGTTCAACTTTAACAGGCCATTTTGCTTTTAACTATCAGTTGGTGATGATGTCATTAGTCAACTGTGTGGTTATCTATGATCTTCTTCTTCTTCCTGAAGCGCAAGTACCCAATTGAATTTATAAAGTTCTTCAAAATCGTTTGAGTAATTGTTTTATTTTAGTGTTGTGAAATGCTTAGATGCTAGTTTGTTAAGGATATCGTTTGTTAATTAAGACAAAAATGCATTTTGAAAAATAACTTACGATTTATTTTAAATATTTTAATTTCGCATCATTTTTCTTGCTCTTATACTTATTTCATTGTTGAATTTAATACGTATTAACAGGGATGAAATGCACCATTAATCCTTTGTAACAAATGTAAGAATAAATAGGGAAAAGCGTTATTAATGTAGATTTTTTCGTTTCTCTGTTTATAGTAGAATTTATTGTATAAAAGACTAGAAATGGAGAGTAGTAAATGAATATATGAAAGCGATACTTTTTACGTATTTAGAAACTGAAATAAAAAAATAAAAAATAAAAAAAGATTTGGAGTTGATTAGAAAATTTTACTTTTTTGCATAAATGCAAAACATGAAAATATTTAAAATAAACAAACATAAATTCACGCAATACAATCGTGATACAATCCACACTTTTTGCAGTCTAAGATTCTGATAAAAGTGTTAGTGATAAAAAAACTTAATTATAAATATACTTTATTTTTATTTTATAACCATCGTTGAACAGACAAACCAATTTTTGTGTTTACGACTACTAATGTTCAACTCCATATCCTTATAATTTTGAACCCAATGCAGAAGACAAAGGAACTCCTAGATCAAGTATTAGGAGAAATTTGCCTTCGTGGAGGATTTTTTCATGGAACTAACCCGCATTTATTTCACATGAGGAGGAAAACCACGAAAACCTCTCACAGTTCGTCTGACGGTGAGGGGACTAAGCCATAATCCGTCTACTACGGAGAATATTTTGAGTCTGCACTGTGGTCGGTGCAAGCAGAATGCAGAATTCGTATCGACCAGCCATCGTTGGGATTTGAACCCGTTCATCTCTCTAGAAAGCGAAGGTTCTATCCCCTGAGCCACCACGACTCCAATTATAAATATACAAGTCATTATCTAAAATACAAAAATGGACTGTGATCCGTCCTCTGCTCACCAACTCATCGTACTCCCTGTACATTTTTCAACTATCCGACCGGACTGTGGAGGGGTCGGAGAACTGGTTATGCATCAGAAAGGTTCTGAGTTCAAATACCGATCAAGGCATGGATGTTCTTTCATTCCCTATACTATCTGTCCTTATTGTGGGAGGAACATTGGTCCACCTAGTATGGTGCCCCCGAAAGAGTGCCCAACGAATCTGCTATGTGAATACCTGAATTGACAAAATGCTAACACATGTGGGCATTGGAAGTTAAAAAATAAATAAATATATATATATATATATATATAAGACTATGTTTAATTTTTGGAATATTTACAAGACTATTCTCCGCGGAATCCTAAATGAAGGTGAGAATAAGAAGATTGTGCTGTTAGGTTTATATAGTTTGTCTACGGTAAGAACTCCCCCCGCCACAAAATCTGTAGCCGTCTGTTGCTATGNTATATATATATATATATATATGTATATGTATATGTATATATGTATATGTATAGTAATAATTTGGATCAGCGGGACAATGTCGCATAGGATTTTCTGCTTCTTAAATTTAGATATAATAATGTTATTTTTTTTCGAATGTTTAAAACTGCGTATAAGAAGCTGTATTATATTTTTAACAGGCATGCAGCCGAACTTCAGAATTGTTTCAAGACACTTTTACCAGAATGTTCTACTTACTGGCAGATGAATCGGTATATGAGAATGATGAATTTATTTCAGAATGTTTACTCGTACCTTTGTGAGAGTACTACAAACAATGTAAGAGGTGGGTATTCAGCTTTCTGAAACAGTAATCCTTAAAACATTACACCTTAATTAAATTTTTGTCAAAGTTAAGACCGGGTTCGGAATAAAAATTTGTTCCTCAAAAATACATGATATTTTGATTCGACTCTGAGAAAAAAAGTATTATAGTATATGATTTTATAAATGTTTATTTTAGATAAATATTGATATTTTAAGGTTTATGCTTTTAAGAAATAAAAGTTTAAAATATCAGTAAATCTTAGAAGACTATAAGATTTTTTCTATTTCTTCTATTTTTTTTGTTTATTTGTGGCTGTGAAAATAAATTTCGCTGCATTTTAAAAAAAAATCTACAAGCTATTTTTAATTTTACCCTTAATCTCTTAACCAACTTCGAATATATTTGACAAAGTCTGATGTAATTTTATTGCTTAAGAAATAATGGTTTTTCTGATTACTGAGAGATTCCACTTAACAACGCTCTCATTCCTCGTGATTGTTTTTTTCTTATAAGTCAATGATAAAAAAGATGATTATTTTGTCTATAAAATATATAATTATCATAATTCTATGTAAGTACATTTTATTAATCTGTTAATAGTAACGAAATGAAAGGATGCTGGATTTGAAAATTATTCAACTGCACTTAAAAAATACACAAAATAATACTTCAAAATGCGCGACACAAGAAGGTGCAATAAATAAGAAGAAATTTTGCTTGCAAATATTAACATATGACATTAAGCCTTATATCATATAATAGTTCGCATTTTAATAGTTTTTATTTCTCTTTAATGCATGTTTGAAAACTTATATCTGGGTACATCTAATCTTATTGTTTATTTATTCATTCATTGTTTTGCTACTTTTGATATCAAGTAGAACGCGAGCTTATAAAATGAAGACCGAGAGAGAGATAAAAATTTTCACAATAAGGTATGCAAAAATATTGTTTCAAGAAAAAAGTTACAAAAAGTACTTTCGAGCTCTAAAACTTTCAAATTAAATAAGATTAAAATAAATAAATAATTACTCTAGCTTATATTTGAAAATGGTCTTATAAGCTCACCAAATTCTAAGAGAGTTGCCACATTAGCTTGCAGTAGATCGGCAGGCAGGTTTTTTTAAAAAATTTAATCGCAAATTTGATAGTTAATAATTCTCGAATTAATAATTTAATCATGATTTTTTTTATTTAATTAAATTCCTTTTCCACTTTTTTTTTTACTCACTTGTGCAATTTCAACTTTTTTTAAGTCTGTATAGTTCTTAAACAGCAAAATAAAATTTTACTTAAAGCAAAGAGGGGAAAAAATTCTCGAAAAAAAGTACTTAAAATTGCAATAATTTTCGAACAAATTAGAATTTATACAAAAGCTTTTGTGGAATTTATGAACAAAAATGATTCATTCATCCTGCCAAATTTCAATTCTATAGTTGCATTCCTTACACACCTCAGTAATTTTGCGTTTTCAACAGTTTTTAACAGTTAAAGTTTTTGTGCAGCAAAACAAATCGTAACGTCAAGTTGAACACATAAAACAGTGGTGACAACGGTGGCCTTAACGATTTTATGATACAGAGAGATTTTCGTTTCAATATTCTTTTACAAAGCCAATGTTTAAGTAAAAATATAACTGGATTTTCCTTCATTTGGAGGAAATTTTAATTACAGTAGAAAATCAAAAAAAGGTGAGAAATTCGATTCAAGTAATTTTTAAAAAAAAGTTTTATGACTTGAATATCTTAGTATTTAAGTCTAAGAGATTTTTCTTCTTTACCGAAATACACTATAAAAATATTCTACAATTTGCTGAAAAAGCTAAAACTTATAGTTATTCATTTTTTGCGTAATTATTACAAATAACTATATAAAGGTTTATTATGTTTAATTAATTGAATTTTTTTCAATAAAAAATATACACACTGAAGAGCTCAAAAAACTGGTATACCTGCCTAATATCGTGTAGGACCCCCGCGAGCACGCAGAAGTGCCGCAACACGACGTGGCATGGATTCGATCAATGTGTGAAGTAGTGCTGGAGATAATTGACACCATGAATCCTGCAGGGCTGTCCATAAACCAGTGGGAGTAAGAGAGGGGGGGGGTATCTTCTGAACATCAAGGCATCCCAATTATGTTCAATAATGTTCATACCTGGGGAATTTGGTGGCCAGCGGCACTCTTCTGAATGCAAAACAATAAAAATGCAAAACGATAATAGATAAAAATAGAAAACTTTTCTTCTTCTCCCCAACCTTTCCCCAATCACAGTAGTGGTAGGGAGGAGAGGAGGGTGCAAGCCCGTTTCAAGAATTTCGGTTGTTGTGCCCCTAAATGTAATTTTTTCCCTTATACACCGGGATCGCGCCAAATTTTGGGAAACTGATTTACAGTATGTCAATGGAAATTAGCCTTCTTCCTCCATGTATATTCTTTGATTATGAGAGGATAATCTTTTCAGTTGAAATTAAAATGTTTTTACTAAATAAACTTTGTAGTACTTCTGTTACATTCTGCTTCCATTTCTAGATCTTCTTCTGAATACGAAATGTTTGACGATGGCCGAAAGTTTCATCGCTAATTGTTCAATTCACGGCTTCAGTTGGTCATTCACTTGGAAAGAAGTTCTTCGCATGCGAGTATCCCCAGCAGACAGGTGCCAAGTGATTGACCACTACAGGACATGTCTTATAGGTAGACTTCAAAATGTCCTGTGTGGAGAGGAAGCAGCTCGTGTTTACGGATCTCTTTTAGATGTGTGGCTGCTACATTGGTGTAATAAAGGCGTCGGGCCGGAAAAGGGACTGGAATACTTCTACTTACCAGTTATCGCTGCTAACCAAAAGTAATCATGTTTCAAGTTGTCATTGTACTGGAAAGTGAAACACGATTACAGCTAAAGAGACATTTTTGAAAAGAAAAATGTGATTTTCCTGAAAATGATCTTGTTTCAATTTTATTTTGATATGCAGCATTTATTTGTTTTGTCAAGTTTGTCACTTTTTCTAATCTCAGTAGATGAAACTACTAAAATCTTTGTAAATAGAATAGTTGCCTCAAGGTTTCCTCAATCTCCACCTTTCCGTGATCATACTATCCTCAAATCTTACTTTTCCCCACACGAGAGCACATCCCCACTTTTTACAGCAACTCTACAGCATGGGGAAAAAAAACAAGATTTTCTACAACCATGGTAACAGAGGAAAAAGCGTGAAGAGTTGGAAAATCGCAGAACATTAAGATGCCAATTCTATTTATTAAAAGTATAAGTAGCAATATTTGTGTTCTCGAGGTGGAAGAAAAGCATAAAAATACCTTAATTACATGACCATTTTAGTGAAATAACTGTCTTCATTCATTACTAATAATTATGTGTTCATGAATAAGCAAAGAACTTTTTCCATTTGTAAAAATAATTGGTGTGAAATATGAGTGAGCCTTAAAAATTTTACGGCTATTTAAGTAGAGTATTTTACAACGTTCATTTCTAATAATTATGTGTTCATGAATAAACAAAGAAATTTCTTCATCTGTTAAAATTTGAGTGAATCTTTAAAATTCTACGGTTATTGACGAGAAATAAATTTAGTGTTTGTTACTACCGATTTCGAAATTAAATTCGATTTGTGTCGTGTGACACGTATCGATTAATAAAATTTCGTTCGTAAAAAAATTGATAAATAAATGGTTATCTGTCGATTAGTAAAAGAACTGGTTTATATTTATTGAAATAGTACGTGAGAAATATGGAAATGTGCTTAGAGGCTTTACATTACTATTCTCAAAAAGAATTCAATAATGATTAAATAAGTTTTATATAAGATGAAATTTTTCTCGTTAATATTGCTCCCTGTAAATAATAATGTAAATCAAGCCAGTTTTTCGTAATTAGCTGTTTGGGTTAACTCATGGGATGCCCTTAGAGGGCTGTTCTAAAATGTTTTGGGTCATTCTGCATTATCGTTCTTAAATTTTAGTGACATTTTTATATATTTCTAATAAAAAAATAAGAAAGACTTATTTTTAATATCTCCACAATAATTTCACAATATTTAGTATTAGAATATAAAATGTTAAAAAGTGGAAAAAAATATAAACTTGAGATTTACCGAAATTGAAATGATGGAGATTATATTTAAAACTCGGATATTTTTCTATTTTTTAGATAAATTTTACAGCAGTGTAAAACCCTTAACGATAAGCAATTTCTTTTAATTCCGTTGCTAAAATTACATTTCGATGTTTTTCTTTTTCAATTATAAACGAAATTATTAACGCGAAGGCATAAGCTCAGTCATTCAACAAGCTTTTTTCTTCTTTTCAAATGCAGGTGTTATTAAACGAGTAAGCACATCTCATTAAATGTTTTCACGCTGTTGTTTATTTTCAGCGAAAGAAACAATCAACTGAAAACATACATCCATAAATAATTAGCCTTATTTTAACATCTGCTCAACAAGTTTAACAGCGACTAAAAAAAGAAATGGCAGAAAAGAAAAAAAGGAACGCAATCCATCTTTCTCTTCCTCGTTTAAGCCTTTTCAACAGATGTCCCATTACCTCCGAGATAGGTTCAGCAACTAAGGTTATCGCCGATTTGAATAAAACAAATACATCTTAACAGCCAACGGTGTGGAGAATTGCACCTAGAGGCCGGCCAAATCGTTTACCCATAGTTTGTACAGGATATTAGAGTCATAAACCATTGTAATTGGTTGGCAGTCGGCGGTCAGGCTCTATTACGTCAACGGCCCAATCTCTTTTGCCCCGACATGATCTTCTCTCATTATTTATAGTATGCGTGAAAGTGTACTCAGACGAGGGGGGAGGGCAAATGAGTGGGCGGGGAACAAGAAATACCAAGTTTGTTTTAGTGCAACATATGCTTTTCATCGATTGTGTTGCCATTTGAATTTACTTTAGTCGATGTTCTAGAATTTTTTTTTTAAGTTTAAGCTTAGATTCGATTAAGAAATTTTTTTCAGAGTTATTATTGAAATAACCTAATTAAAATGAAAAATACTCATGCTGCCCTGTAAGTAAGTTTTATAAAAAATCCCTAAATTGCATGACTGGGCGGCCATTATAACTAAAACTCGAAAATGCTCAACATGTTCTAAATATTGCTCAAGTAGAGAGATGAATTTTTGACTTCCGTGTAACACACTACTTTCTATATCCCAGAACTCAGAAAACTAGGAAACAATGTAACGCATTATTAAAATTTGATTGTTTCTTTCACTGAAAATAAACAGTGTGCAAACATTTAATGAGATGTGCTTACTCATTAAATAACACCTGCATTTGAAGGAGAAAAAAAACACGTTAAATGATTCAACTTACGGTTTTTTCAGAAACTTAATAACTTTCATGATTTTTAGGGCACTTTTTCAAAAAAAAAATGTATTAGTATTCGAAGGTTCATTAAAATTAAATTTAGCGAAAGAGTTATTTTGAAAGTGAGAACTATCTTTGGAGAAACAAGTTTTATTATTTTGTGCAAACATTTAGCACTATCTCGAGATACAGCTAAATACACAAAAAAGTGAAATTAACATTAAGGAGTCTAAACTTTTGAATAAGTATTATCGATTTAACTTTGATTTCATTGGATTTAACGTAAGAGAAGCTCATAAGAAATAATGCCTCACATGTCTAGATAGCAATATCTGACCGGTGGTCTGATGTAAGTCAAAAATTGTACTTTGCAAATAAGAAACCTTTATTACTCTCTTAATTTTTAGACTGCCAATAAACCGGCAGGAAAGCTCTTTTACAAGGTAAGATCGATTTGTGTTAAGGAACTTGGAATTAAAAAAATTGGTTTTTCCCTTATGCTATAGCGCTTTTATATTTATTTTTAAAAGAAAAAAATATTTATAATTCGGTACCATTGAATGTCAAATTTTCATTTGAAAGGAATAAAAAATGAAGTTAACGCTAAATTAGGATGTAAACAGTTGTTTACGATTTTCCTAGTTTAGCATCCGATATAAACTTATACCATCAGAGCTTCTTGTCTTTTTAACATAATCGATGCACGTTTCATAAACATTTTCTAGATTTAAAAAATGAAGAGAAATTTGATTTTATAAGATTAGTTCATATTTTAAATATCAAATGTAGTCCTTAAATATGAACGTCACAATGATTGTTTTTTAAATATGTTTATCGATTTTTTTATTTTATAAATTATTATATAATAAAGGAATAATAAAGGAACTAAGTGGTTTAAATTGTGTCCTTTTTAAAACTATGTCTTAGTTATCTTATTTTTCTAAAAGGATTTTGAAAAAAACATTTAAGATTTCTACCAGTAATGTGAGCGATTCCTCTGTGTATTCTAAGAAAAATAGGCAAAAACATAGGTAAGGAGTTATAAATATTTTTTATGTTAAAAATTCTAACAATACTAATAACTAGAGCTGTGGTGGCTCAGGGGATAAAGCGTTCGCCTTCCAATGAGGTAAACCGGATTCAAATCCCAGCGATGGCTGGTCTATAAGAATTCCCCGCCCATCTCGCACCGACCACAGTACTGATGTAAAATATCCTAATGTGTTAGATCCTTGATTCCTAACCTTGGGTTAGATCGTTTCATAAGATTCCTAACCGTTGGAGGTTTCCTAGTTTTCCTCTTCATGTAACGCAAATGCAGGTTAGTTCCATCAAAAAGTCCTCCACGAAGGCAAATTTCTCCCAATACTTGATGCAGGAATTCCCTTGATTTCTGGATTGGGTTCAAAATTACAAAGCTACAGAGTTGAACATTGGTAGTCGTAATCTCAAAATTGGGTCGGTTGTTCAACAACAGCTATAAAATAAAAATGCTAATAACTAATAAAAATTTTTAATTTTTTCACAACAATAAACTAAACCTTTGCGTGAAGCAAAACTAATGTACAAAAAAAAATATTTTAAATATTTAAATATATAAAAAATATTTAAAAATGACAAAAATGAATATTGCAGTAGAATTTCACATTATTTTTTTAAAAAAATATTTGAAAGGGAATAAAAAAAAAACTAAATGGAGTTTCCCACGACGCCAAATAAACCGTCCCATTTATTAAAGGCCGCCCCTAGCCTAACAAGGCTGTCAAGAAGCTCGTGATGAGAAGCATCCCCCCCCCCTGCTCTGTTCCATCTCTGATGCGCCCCACCCAGGTATTCTAGGGGCGGGCGTCCCATTAGCATAGCGAAACGAGGTGCCAGAAGATTTATGATGCACAAGCTTACCTTTTGCGCCAACAACTACCACTTCGACTTGCCATTAATGATGCCATACTTGAAACACCTGGGATGCTTAAGGTATGAAGAATGAAATAAATAAAAAGAAAAATGCTAAAATAAAATGGATTTAAGAAGGTTATGAAAGGTAGGGGGGTCAGAAAAGTGAGATAGTTTGGTAGGGGGTGTCAGTGGCTCGTGGGAGATCGCTTTTGATATCCTTAAAGAGCGTTTTGATGAGGTACTTTTAGAACTTTGTTTGATTTACATCGCAGCGCCATTTCGCACTTTCCTGTGGGTTCAATGATGTAGTATATTGTATTGAAATAATGCTCATTTGTCAACATTTAAAGCTTACATTATTCAGATAATAGCAAATAAATGCTCTATAAATAACCGAAGTGCATTGAGCCGTTTAGGATAGAGCTTATGTGAATAGTACATTCTGTCATTGATGCTTTTCAAAATTTCGATCAGATGTGATCAAATAGGGCAAAGAATTTTGAATGCGGCATTTTATTTTTGTTACTAAGTATGCTATTTTTATATAATTGTAATCAAATAATAAAATAATTTTTTGTTTTAATTGATGTAACATTTCAAGGATATACAAGACTGTTTAATTAGGATAATTTTTTTTTTAAAGAAATGTATAATTTTAAGTATCTTTGGAGTTCCGATAAATAAAATATTTTCATGTATAATCTCGAAATATAATTGCAGTATAATATTTTGTTATATAACTGTCGTTGAATCCTAGATCCATATTCTACCGATGAAATCTTTCGTCATCACTTTGGTTAGTGCGATCCGGTTGTGGAATTCATATCGATCTGCCATCGCTGGGTTTCGAACCCGGGGCACCTCATAGGGAGGAGCGCGCTCTATTCCCTGAGCCACCTCGGCTCTGTGTGATATATTATTTTATTTTATAACCGTCTGATTTAAATTTGAATTTACGGCTACCAATGCTCAACTCCGTAGTCTTGCTGTTTTGAACCTAATCTAGAAGACAAGTAAGCAAAAAACTTCTCGGAAGGTGAAAAGTTTTTCTGGGTCAAAAGTATGCTAAAAATCCACCAGAACATGTAAATTAATTTTACTCAAAATTAGCGCTTGATTAGTACATTTGAATATTCTCAATTCCTGAAAAACACTTACAAATGGATTGCATACTAAAATTCAATGTCTGATAATTTTGGAATTCAATGTTTGATAATTTTGGAATTCAGTGTTTAATAATTCTGTGTTTTATGTTTGATAAATTTGGAAATTTGTAATTGAGATTTTTGGAAGGAACATCGTTTTGTAGTTGCAAAAACGTGGGCGATCGTGAATTCATCAGCTTGCTTGATCATTAGTAATTCAGAGTGCATGTGTTAAGCAAAAAGATTTTAAATTAAACTTATCATGTTCAAGGTCGAATGTTTGTCTAAGCCTGAATTAGATCTGTAACTAAACTGTTACGTATCAGGTATTCCTAGTATCCTAAAATGGATTGCTGCAATAACAATGATGCTTTCCAAATCCCCTCTTTGTTATAAGAGTTAAAGTTGTTTGTTATGTTAATCAATAGTTCTGGTTTTACCTTATGAAAATTAACTTACGGAAAAAAGAGAGATATGGATTTTAAGTTTCTTTGAGGGTATAAAATATGATTTATATCTCGTTCGTAAATTATTTGCACACAATCAAAAATCTTTCGATTTTTTTTCTTCAAATCAGAGCCCAATAAAATCATCTTTTTTAAAATTGTTCCTATACGCAATTGAGAATGTTTCTTTTTGTTTTCCTCTTCTTTTTCATTAGGTGTTACTATCAGATATAAATCATTTGAAAATTCTAGGTATAAAATATACTTTCCCCAGTCTCTTTTTCTCCTGTCCTAAAGTAATAGAATGTGCAGTTTGAGACACAGAAGAAAATCCAGTCCTAGAGTAATAGAATGTGCAGTTTGAGACACAGAAGTAAGCCTTTCTGAGACTGCTTATTATAATTAATAATTATTAAATAGTAAATACAAAACAAATCAACGATATTTGTTCTTGCAAGAAGACATCCCAACATACAGTAAAAACAATGCTATTCACAAAATCAAAATCACAATTGAGTTAAATTCAACACTATGTTTTCTCTTATTCTTTCGTTGCTAAGGCATATATTTCAGACTAGCAAGTAAATTGTTAACAATTTATTCCTATTTGTTTTTAAAAGTCAAAGTACAAAGAAAATTAAATGTCAATGTCAATTTCACACAATCGCGCATTTCTTTATTTTTTTTTTAGCTACGCATTCTCTTTCTAACAATATTTTATGGAAAGTTTAGAAGAACAAACAAAATGTGGAATTTGCAATGTTGAAATCATACAATTTCTAATCATATGTTTTCTTTGTAAATGACTAATAAAAATTTGAAAGTCAGGAATCGCATACTCGGATGATGGCTTTCAATACGAGATATAACTGTATTTTGAATGCATTGCAAAACAAAAGTAAAAAAAAAAAAAAAAAAACTCATTTTAGAATTTAAAACCATTAAAATTTTTCCTACAGAGTTTAAAAAGAATCGCGAAGTATATGAAACTTGAGAAATGATTATTCTAATTTTTCAATTAAATTTGCATCTTAAAATGGTAATCATTCAAAAATGTAAAAACCAATCCCAACTGAAAGAAAACCAATTTCGTTTGGCTTTTCAAATGGTAACATCTTTTCTCTCATAGAATTTAACGCCGTCCTATTTAAAACTGTATTAAAAATTCACTCCCTTTGACACTTTAACGACTAAATGCATTTAAATCGAACGTGAAGCAAATTTCCAACCATTTATTGACGAAGTTTTGACAGTAGCCAACACCCTTGAATATCGCCAAGGCGCAAAAAAAGAAATTATCATACTACTTAATTGCTCGTGGAAAGCACCCCTCCGAGCTCTTCAAATCATTTTTTTCCGCTCATCTCTCGCCAGCCATGACTGAAAAGCCATGAATTTCGATTTTTTTTTTCTTCATCATCATCTATCACGCCCATATTCCTTCTTCTAGGACAAATAAGCTGCCAGTCAAAAGTAAATGTGCGGCATTAGTTGTTTGTTCTAGGAAGCCCGATGAATTTCACACTCAATCACCCCCCTTTTAAAGCTCTAATCCACCCCACTCCCAAATGTAACTAAAAATGATAATTGATCCTATCATCTAGGTGTCAATCAAGAGGGAGGATATTCGGGGACTAAGTTAGCCCCTCATGGTACGCCAGTTCATTTCCGATTTTTTTTAAATATTATTTTTTCATAAGCCTTGTTTTTATTTAATTATTTAGGCTGTTTGTTTTACTCGTCAAGATACACCTGGTTTGCTTGTTTGTTTGAAAACACCTATGATTTTTGTTTCCATTAGCCTTCTGTTAGTGAACTTAAAAGAAAAAATAAAGAATGTTGTTTGGAGAGAAAAATAAATTCTGTTAAAACTACCGCACTTTTTATGTTCTGTTAAAGCTACCATACATAGTAAAGACATTATGGTAAAAAACAACAACAACAACATAATTCTGGTAATAAAGTCAAAACATACAGTATTTAAACCATTCATTTGTTAGTTTTCTAGTTCATATTGCTACGATTTACCAGAAATTCTGGCTTTAAAAATTATAGTCATTACCATACATTCCCAAAGGCCCATGTCTGAGAGTTCGTGGGCTCGAACCCCGCCGGCCGAAGACACCCCGTGTAGTAAATGGTGACTGTTGCACGTTAAATATGTCGAGACGCAAAGTCCTCCATGTTCCCATAACAAATCAAAACCTCTGGGGGTACTGGATTGGAGATCGATCGTTCTCTGATTCAGATCAAAAATTACGATCTATGGATGAATGAATGGATGTATGAATGGGTCCGCCCTTTAAACGGGTGTGACGTGTGCGTGACTGATGACTAATTCTTGGCCATAGGATGACGCCACTGAAAAGCAAGAAACGCACCCTCTGCCTTAAATTTG